ACTGTGCATCACTACCTTCTTAACACCAGGCGCCATGCGGTAAGTTACTGGGCCTATCCTTTCTTGGGCCAGAATGCCCATTTTGCTTTTAGAGGCCCGTGAGCTTTTGCTGTTTGGTACGAACGGAGGATGCACAACTAGAGGTAAAGGTTAAGGTCCCATAGCGATTACTGGCCGAAGGGGCAGTGGGATGTTAGAGGTCCACTGTGTCGGCATATGAGTGGCAGTGCCCATCTCCTCTCCTCTCGCCGTCTTACCTTCCCTTAACGAATCAGATACCTTTTTACTGTTGGGTCGTCAGAGAGAGTTGTCCCGTTTTTGGTCCGAATGGAACCGCCAACCTTCCACTCCTTAGCTCCACGTTCTAACCGCTCGGCTACAAGGCCAGGCCCTCCTAGAGACAACTAGAGATGTGCACCAAATGGACAACTCGAGTTGGACTCAAGTCGTGCCATCGCCTCGAGTCATGGACATTTTACTGATTCGATTGTTTCTTTATCAATTTTCAATATTTTTCAAGGTTGTTCCTTTTGGACGAAGAGGGTGGAGCTCAGACTACAATCCACTGCGCACTGGATGAGTCGGTCCAACAATTCTCAGGCGGTTATTTCGACAACTGTGCAGTGGCGGAACCGGCAGCGCTGGCTCAGGACGACCATCTCGCCAAACGACTGTGGGAGGTTAGCTGCCAGGCCACGGGATTGAAATGTTGAAAAGGGGGCAAACCGGTGTTAAAGTGATCATCTACCAAACATTAATTCTGGTCATGTGACGATGATGATAATGTGTTAATCTCATGTTTCCCAAGCTATTATGTGAATGCAATTGCGACCAATACTGTGCACGTCTTCTCATGAAATTTACCGCTGGCGTTTGAAACTTGGGTAGAAATGTGTCCATGGGGTGCGCAGCGTGCAGCGGTGGAACATTTCTGCAGTTTTGAGAGCTGGCCAGACAAGTCAAATAAGTCAGTCATTTTAAAACTAAAATGCAGCCAGTAAGACTGTTTGTGTGGGGTGGGCATTTTTTTTAATTGTATACTTATTTTGAACAGAATGCCGAAAGTCCTGTGGCCCAAACAGGGCTGTGCAACCGATGGCAAGGGATGGTTTGGAGAGGGTCGAAAGACAAATTTCGTCATAAGTCCATTTTAAGCTTCGAAAGAATTAAAAAAAAATGTTAATTTGCTTTGTGTTCCATGACGTACCTTTGAAGTTAATTGTGAAAGTGTAATGTGATAATTAAAACTTCAAGGCTTTCGTTGTAAATGTGTGAATAAATAATAATAACCAACCCCCCTGCTACACCCCGGCAACAGATATGTAATAAGGTGCCAGACATCCCCCCCCCCCCCCGAAAAAGAAAATTGGGAAGGGCTATTTAATAAACCAAGATATTAACTGGGGAATCTGACGGCACTCCCAAAAGACGTGCACTCGTCAAGCAAGCAAAAATCAGGATAACAGTATCGCAGAACCCGAAGAGCCATTAAGGCTCCGATGAAAGAGTAGAAAAGCTTGCTAAGAATTGGAAAGAGCTTGACCATGCACTGGCGATGCTGCAATTGCAAAAGGCAGCAAAACAACTGACCATGGTCGTTGTGGCTGTTGGTGTGATACAATGGCACATTCGGCAACCTGGTGCCCTTTGTGCCATAAGCAATACTGCTGCAGATCATGGTTAGACCACGGATCCTACAAACGAGGATAAACAAATGTTTTGAGCTCCAGTACAAAATGCACCGAGCGGACTTGCCTTAATTGGTTATATTATACGCGTGATAACCGGCATTAATACCGTTGGCTTGCAATCGCGAATTTTCACGAGTGCCATTTTGTCGGGTTTTTTTTTGCATGACATCTAAAACGGAAATATTCATAAAACTGTAAGCAAAACTACTCCTTATTTAAGATATAATTGTTCCAAATTATTTTAAAAAAAAATACTTCAGGATATAACGGATGGTATTGTGCAGTTTTTGTCGTCATAGATGAAGTATTTACCCGGGAAATAAACGTCAAATTTCGAGGAGAACACCGTTTACCCAAATTTCGTTTTTAATTAGGCTTTTATTAAAAAGTTTTAGAGAGATAGGATGCCGAACCGATGAAACAAAAGCGACATTTCATTGTTCATCTTAAAGCTAAAGATATTGTGCTATGCGTTATCATGGTTATGTTTTTTGTTTTTTGTTTTTTTATCCCGGGGATAACATTTTATTGCTCTTCAATCAGCTCTCATCCATTGACAAACAAATACAGTACTGGCTAAGGATACAGATCTAATCAATAACAACTTAAGCAAAAGGGATTACTCTTGACACAATACAGAATAATTTGCCCATTTTGAATAAAATTTCTGTACAACTCCATTTACAACAGACATATATTTTTCACAGATATAGTACCTCCTGAGATCTTTTTTAAAAGCTACAAAGGATGGACGTTTGTCACTCATTTTCATTTTGTAAATGTGGAATCGACAAATTAAAAATATAAGATTGAGACATTTGAATCTACTATCAGTAATACCAAACAAAAGAAGCTCATTGTCTACCACGAAACCAGTATTAGTCTTGTCCTCGATCCAATCTATAATTGAATTCCAGAAGGAAGTGACATGACGGCAATTACAAAAGAGGTGAATAAGGGTTTCTTCTTCGTCCTTACAGAAAGTACAAACATTGGAACCTAACTTGTTAACTTTAAATAAAAACGAATTAGTGCCCAATATTCTGTGGATTAAACGGTACTGAAACCATTTAAGCTTCGAATCAACCGTACAATTGAAAGGTACATTAAATACCCGAGACCATTTACCAAAATCGTAATTGATTTGTAGTTTCCCTTCCCATTTGTCCACAAACTTTCTCACGACTTTTTTAGATGAGATAAAGATATCATACAATCTGCGAGAACCCTTTTTATCACTTAAAAGAACGTGAAAATTGAAGGGAACAAATGGAAACGGAACGTTTATATTATTCACCAACAAATTATTAAAAACGACCTTAATTGCTCGGACTACAGCTCCATATTTAATAAAATTTGACCGAACATTGAACTTGGCCCTGAAGTCGGCCAATGATAGAAAACAACCATTGTCGTCTAAAAGATCACATATAAAGTGAATTCCAGCTGACGACCAGTGCTCATAATGGATGCACTTATTACCGACCTTAATCAGGTTATTGTACCACAGCGTGGTTTTTAAAACGTCACTATGAGTGGAGGGTTTGTGAATCAGAGTAAATTTCTGCCAAGAGTTCAGTACATCAACCCAAAATTGATTACTATGAAACAAAGCATTACGAGCAAAGAGTAAATCGATTGATCCTCCTTCTATATGCAATAAACGATCAATACCAAGTATTTTACGACACAGGTATGCCCAACCAGAATTATCTGAAACAATCAATCGACGCAGCCAAGTGATTTTAAGAGAGTCCATGTATGCTCTAACGTCAACCATTCGTAAACCACCCAGCTTATAATCTTGAGTCATCTGGTTTCTGGATACTCGATCATTACCTTTCCAAATAAAATTAAAGAACATAACATTAAGATCATTAACAATATTGCAAGGGGGGTTAGGTAAAGTAAGAATAAAATATGTAAGTTTTGACATTAGGAGTGATTTCACCACAGTCACTCTTCCCAAAACCGTGAGGTTCCTTTTAGACCACTGCGCAATAAGTTTTCTAAGTGATAAAATAACATTACTATAGTTAATCAAAGTCATGGACTCCAAATCAGTCGAAAAAGTAATACCTAACACTTTGAAGGTATCGCGAGGCGATATCCAATTAACATTGATATCATCACACAGTTTATCGGTGCAATCCTTCTTTGAACCTATCCAGACTGCGGTGGTCTTGTCAACATTAACTCGCAGCCCGGACATGTTGGCAAATCGGTTAAGAATAGCAAAAGCATTATACATGGACCTCTCTGTGCCATTTAAAAATAACACTGTGTCGTCAGCAAATTGGGATAATCGGAATTCAATATCGCCTACATGAATACCCTGAACATTCTGGTCATTACATAACATCATAGACAAAACCTCAACACATAAAAGAAACAAATACGGACTTAGGCCATCACCTTGCCTACAGCCTCGCTCAATGACAAAGGATTCTGAAGGAAATCCATTTACCATGACTGAGGAGGAGGCCTGGTTATAAAACAATTGAATCTATCTTGTGATTGAGTTATCACTTATCAGAACTCAATAATAAAGACCAAAAACGTAGGCTCATGAATATTCAAAAATATAATTCGCTGGCTTGACAGACTTCGAGGCCAGATCGGGCGCAGAGCCCTGCAAATCTGAAAGCCACCGCAAGCAGCGGTCTTTGTTGACAAGTATTCATGGTATTTGCCACCAGTACGGGCCGTTATCACGCGTCTAACCAGGAGTTGGGCCGAGTCGTTCATCCTTGAACTAGGATCCTTGGTTAGATGTGGCAGGCACACTTACATACACATATCTACACACGCCATTTCCTCAAAATCCAGTGCACATAACTAAAAGGCCCCGACTAATTGTTTAAATTCCAGTCTCATTGCATGTGTACTTACCCTCTGGAGTGATCTGAGATGCATGGTTCAAATTCTAGAGCCCTTCAGGCGTTACTTCAAATGCAAATCAATGACATCACAGCATAAAATGAATATTCAACACTTGCAAATCCAGCAAAACAAATCAAGTGCAACAAACGTTTGTGACAGCAAACAAAACTGGGGAAATAACTACACAATTTATTATAAATACAACTCTCGTTTAAGAGAAATTTCATGAAGAAAACTCCCTCCACCAATGTAACGATCAGAATTTTTACATACTACGATCGGGACATGGATTTTCCGGGGGTCGACATCAAACATCAGAAAATAAAGAACACTATAAACTTTATTCTCTAGCTTTTTATGATCACATATTATCAGATGTATGTTTATTAACATAAATCCACAAAAAAATACATATTGTAAAATTACGCATTTTCCGTCTAATCGGCGTCAAAGTATCGGGACACGAAAGTAGACGCTTAACAAAGAATGACCCTGACGCAACCACCAACAGTGATGTAGATAATATCGTTTACTTTACCGATATCACTGTACAGTCCAGTAGATCGAGAGCAATAATGATGTTATGCACAGTCCTCGTCACAGGATCAACGGTTTTTTTCAGATCAGACTCAACAAACGGTTTGATTAGAAGTATTGAAAAGTCTTGATCATACTAGGGGGGTGTTGCAATTTTGGCCCCCAAATGGCACTGCTTTCTAGACTGTTGAGTTGGCTGGTGCCGATCTTAGTGGTCCTGTATGCTGTATTTTACTGGCAGGTGATTACCAATCGGAAGTACTTCACCAACGACGTTAAGCTCAATGGAAAGACGACCATTGTAACCGGTAAGCAGAACCTGAAGTCCCTGTTAAACTTCAGCTTTAAACCTCGTAGTATAGTGATACTTTCGTAGTAGTTATACAGTTAATCAGTCAGTCGGTCGGCTGGGATGGGCTGGGGCGGGCCCTGCCCGGCCCGGGCCGGGCCGGGCCGGGCCGGCCGGGGGCCGGGGGCCGGGGGCTGGGCTGGGGGCCGGGCTGGGCTGGGCTGGCCTGGCGGGCTTGGCTGGGGGGCTTGGCTGGGCTGGGCTGGGCTATTCCTACAGTTCCAGCAAAATACATGCATTAACAGGGTCCCAATGGAAACAGTTTTAAACTGAAGTTGATTTGGGTGTACCCTGGGTAAAGAAAATTAAATAAACTTGTTACTTGATGAACCTTTAACGATACTTTCGGTTTGGTCCCAGTGGGGCAGATTGTCCTCTCTGTACATCTATCTCACTGACTAGAACGAGTGACTGACCGACTGACTGACTGATGGCATGACTTGTGAATTACACCGGCTATTGGCTGATGATGAGAGCCGCAGGCAGCGCTAATGTGTAAACCCCATGCCTTAAATAGGCTAAATCAAGCTGACTGTGTAAACCAGATGCACGAAAAGACTTCCAATGCTCTGGAATCAGATTGTAATACTTAGCTTGCCTTTTCCTGTTGTTGAAAACAAGGAGGGAACTCTGGCATTGGCTGGTGGACAGCTCTCGACTTTGCCCAGCGAGGCGCCCGGGTCGTCCTCGCCTGTCGCAATCTCAAGAAGGCCGAAGATGCTGCCAAAGAGATCAAGATGCGTACGGGCAACTCGGAGGTTGTGGTGCGCCACCTGGATCTAGCCAGCCTTCAGTCTGTCAGGGAGTTTTCAAACAAGATCATAGAAAGCGAGGAGAGACTTGACATACTTGTAAACAATGCAGGTATGGACTCTGTACACTGGTTCCCGTTCGATTTTGAGAATAAATAGATGTAGAGAGACAGACAGTATCCATTTAGCCTCACCCAGGCCAAGATCTTTTGACCAATCACAACTGTGAGGTTTTTTGTCTTGATTTGGTCTTTATCATTCAAGCATACTTGTTTTAATACATGTGTTGCTAACAAAAGAGTTGCTCTATTATGTCGGAGCGTTATGTGTTACATTCACCTAATAGACCATTATCACGTTGCGGCCATCTTGATTTTTCCCATTCAAATCAACGTAACCAAAGCGAGGCTGGAAGGAAAAATAATCTGGTTCCTTTTTGCACAAAAACTTTATCATTCAGTACTGTTATTGGATACATGGAACATGATTGAAATGGTGGCAGCATATTAGGTAAAAATGCACCTGTTTGCAGGTCTTGCCCGTTTGCAGCATCGAGCCAAGGCCACGGAGGACAACTTTGACCTTGTCTTCGGCGTCAACCACTTCGGCCACTTCCTGCTGACCAACCTCCTCCTGGACCTGCTGAAAAAGAGCTCCCCCAGCCGTGTAGTCACCGTCTCCTCCTCGGGCCATCGTTATGCCAAGGAGCCCATGAATCTGACTCGCGAGGATCCGGCCGTGGCCAGTTTGCTGTATCCTCACTTGGAGGGTTACAAGATCAGCAAGCTGGCCAACATTCAGTTCGGCCGGGAGCTGGCCAGGCGGGAAGCATCTAGCGGTGTAGTTTCTGTTTCCCTGCATCCAGGGACCATCTATACTCCAATATGGAAAAACGCCATGACCGATGACACCGTTTGGTGGAAAGTTCTTTACTACATACTCTCACCGTTAATGTGGTAGGTATAAACATTCGTTAATAATTGTTACCATCCAAATGAAGCTTTCACTCTCCTCCTTAATGAAACTGTATGCACCTAACTTATATTTTTGAGCAATTCTGTTGTTTCAAATGAAAAAAAGTACACAAACAGCTAATGATCCTAAACTGCATTCTGTAGTAACATGTTTTGCAAGGAAAGTTTTCATTCATTTTACTCAATTCAATTCAATGCAATTTCAATTCATAGAAAAATATCCTGGAATTTAAAGGTATCGTGGAAAGTCATTGAATTGTGTTATTTTACACAAAAAATTGACATTCCAAGAACAAAATCGTGGAAAAATAATGGAATCTTGCACAAGCCACACGTGATGATACGTAATATGTGGCCATGGCAGTCGTCCGGTGTACATTACATTGACTATACTCTTTATGCATACATGTACATGCGCAATACGTGTTGCTCCTTCAATGCACCATTGTAATGCTTCTGTGGTGAGCAGTGGAATGTCAAACTTTAAGGCTGAGAGGGAGTGGTGTCGAGTCCCGTGCCTCCAGAGCAACTGTCTCCTAAAACAGCGGGGGAAGTTAGTCAAGAAAAGCCCTTAGTTTGTCCTGGGGAAAGTCATGAAAGTTCATCAGAAGATTCCATGGGATCCCTGATGATGTTATTGTTTGTCACCAGGCTGTCTATGATAGACGAGGAAGCAGGTACCCAGACGACCCTCCACTGCGCCCTGGATGACTCGATACCTCAGCTCTCTGGCAGCTACTTTGACAACTGCCAGGTGATGGCGCCCTCAGCGCTCGCTGAGGATGACGAGATGGCCCGGAGATTGTGGCAAGTCAGCTGCGAAGCCACCGGCTTGAAATGCACCTCAACAAATTGATGTAATTTCTGCCTTTTAGAAGACCCATTACAGAAATAAACATTCTATAGGACCAGGCAATCAAAGAGTGCGCGCGCACTGACCAATAATGTCGCAACTTTTGTTCCGGGGGACCACCATATACCTCGTTGCACACTCTCCGTCAATTTTCACCGTATTTTTTTTCCCTTAAAATACCAATTACGTATTCACTTTAGAATTAGACATTGAGCAAAAATGTGCCCTTATGCAGTTTATGGAATAATTACATTACAAATTGGTAATTATTTGCAGCTATTAGGTTCATGGAGGGTAGACTGGTTTCCAGCCTATTATTGGATTGTTTCGTAAAATACAACTCACTGTGGATCCGGGGGGGGGGGGAGGCAAAGGCAAAAAAAAAGATACACCAATTTTCGACGTCGCAAAAAAGGCAGCAACTGCGTACACCACCCACAAAACTCAACAAAAGCAGTGCATTTGCTCCCCCCCCCCCGCCCCTTAATTGAAACCGAAATTGAACCTATTCTGGGCGAAGCCGGAGCCACAAGATCGATCTGCGGCAAATTGAACACGACGTCACATCTTTGGGGTCATCGCCTCTTTTACATTCAAAATGAGTGCCAGCCTGCCATCATCAGACGGACGGTTTACCTTACGTTCACTTGTGGTCTACAATATGTGTGTATGGTGTAATAGACCATAATGAATGCGGTAACTGCGGCCCAACCTGTTCAGTTGTAGCCTTATTATATAAGTCATGTACATGATGTAAAAGTCTGATTTAATTACTGCAAAGTGAAATAAAGGATTCGTACTTTGTTGAATATCACTTGGTGCATGGAGCGTTTTATAGCTGTATTATTAATTATAGCAAATCTGTGTGCAGTACAGTGACAGTGCCATGCAGTGTTTTAGTATAACCATTTGGTATGACTCCAGTGATCCATTTTCCATAACTGCAATAAATTAATAGCTGGTCAGTGGAGACCAATCATTTGTCACAATATATGGTCATGAACCAGAGGCACGTATATTTTGTAAAGACTGTCCTTTTGCATTCAAATGCCCTTTTTCAACAGCGCTTACCCTCCCCCAACAATTTGTAAAGACTGTTTTATTTTTAAGAAGTGCCCTTTTTGCTGAACAAGTGTCCTTTCATAAAAAGAAGTGGTTCACTCTGTTTGTGCTATCGGGCGTTGTCGGAGCTTTTTTTTTTATTGCAAGCATGTATCGCCCTGAAAAGCACCATTTATTGTCCGTTAGTGTGCATAATCGTCGGTTTTGAACAGCGCTCCCATCGACAGTCATCGGCAAACATTCATGACGATGATAATGTACATGCCGCTAGACTTGTTACCCGTTCACCATCACGACGACACATAACCCCAAAACTGCGAAATCTCCACTGGTTGTACCTGTCAGTAAGCGCATCAGCTTCAAAACTCTACTCTTTACTTATAAATGCATCGACGGTTCGTCACCATCATACCTTCGCGACCTCATTGAACCCTATCAACCACCGCGCACCCTGCGCGTATGGACATCGGTCCTTCACACACTCATCCGCTACTCTCTGGAACTCTCTCCCACAAAACATCACGACTGCAAGAACTGAAACTGAGTTCAAAATTACACTTAAGACATGCCTATTTAACATTTAATCATTTTGTGTTGTAAAGCGCATTGAGACATTGTATAATGCGCTATATAAGAACCGTTTTATTGTGTAATGCGCTATATAAGAACCGTTTTATTTTTATTATTATTATTATGCATGCATGCCCAATATTATTGTGACATTCCAGATCACTGTACAGTCCAGAGGATAACAATACGATAATGCCCAGTCATCCTTGCAGTTAACGTATAGTTGAGGGTGGCAACGCAGTTTTCAAATCACGTATACACAGACTGTAAGTGTTGAGCTCATAAATGTACGCTGTGTGTTCTGCAAAAAGAAATGGCACTGCTGTCTAGAGTATGCAAGTGGCTGGTGCCGATCCTAGTGGTACTGTATGCTGTGTTTTACTGGCAGGTGATTACCAATCGGAAGTACTTCACCAACGACGTTAAGCTCAATGGAAAGACGACCATTGTAACAGGTGGGCAGAACGTTAAAGTTTGGGCATCATTAATGTCAGTTTGCAGTGCCATGACTACCTCAAGTCATGTACTCTCTCAGTTTACAATGTTGCTATTGCAATGATGTTCTTGTGTCACTTTTAATCATGTTTAATTGCCTTTCTGGTAACGTAATGCATTTCCAAAGGATCCTAAGAAATACAACATAAGGCCTGCCGAGATTATAACTAGTAAATCAGTCAATTAGTCAGTCCATGGAGGAAGGAATAGACGGTCAGTCTGTCAGTGACTCGGCAATCAAGAGGCTATAGCCCACCAACCCTGCTGAACCGAACAGTGTGGAGCATGTGGGATTGGGCATGCAGTAAACCCCTTGTGAACATTCCTGATGCATTAATGTTGGATTCAGCAGGCAACTGCATGTTATGCATAAACATAACGCTTAGGATCATCCTCGAGCTAGCAACTGCAGGAATCGCAATATAACGCCAAGTTGGACTATTATACAAATAACGAATGTTTGTGAGTGCGATGGTAAGAATAATTTCATGAGGTGACAGATTGAATGTTCTATTCCACGAGGCGAAGCCGAGTGGAATAGAACATTCAATCTGTCACCGAATGAAATTATTCTTTCCATTGCACGAACGTAAAACATTCGTTATTTGTTTTATACAACACCAGAATAAATTCTCGTCATTTGATTGGTAAATTATAAACTACAATTTATTTTGATTTTAAAGATGTTGAACTACCCCTTCACGAAAATGTTTGAACCCAACGCTGTAGCGCTGGCTCTTTGGAACAATACGCGCTACGCTGAACGCGCACACCATCATGCATTTTGCACGCAAATACCGCGTCATGGAACAAGCGCAAAGTGAAACGGTATAACGCATGGGTATAATGCATTGTCGCACCGTGCATTATACCGAATAATAATATGTCATGTGATCTACAATTCACCAATCAGATAACGGGGATTTATGCAGGTGTTGTATAAAGTCAGCTGACAACTGAAATAATTGGACAGTGGACTGAGCAGGAAACTCCGGTTGGACTCTGTTGGATCAAAGCAGGGTAGTCCTGAGGAACTAGGTTAGGGTTAGATTCCGTATTAGCCGATACCAGAGCCGTATATTAGAGAAGTTGCGACATGAGGGTCGCACTGTTTGGAACCAAAATGGTGGATTATGCATTAGTGCACATATATAATGGTACACAATAGTCGCACACTGCACTTTATGTATACACAATAATGAACGACCATTTGAACAGTCTGAAGTTGTCGCAACTCTCTCTATACGGCTCAGGCTGGTACCAGCTATAGGGCCAGCCTAGCGTCCTTGTGAATTAGACTGGTTGTTGGCTGATGATGAGAGCCGGGCAGTGCTATTGTATATGATAACCCTGTAACCTCAGTAAACGGGCTAAATCCGGCTTACTAAGTAAACCAGATGCATGAACAAAATAACGCATTAAGTTGGCTTGCCTTGTCCTGTTTTGTTTTAAACAGGAGGAAACTCTGGCATTGGCTGGTGGACAGCTCTTGACTTTGCCCAGCGAGGCGCCCGGGTCATCCTCGCCTGTCGCAATCTCCAGAAGGCCGAAGACGCCGCCAAAGAGATCAAGACGCGTACGGGCAACTCGGAGGTTGTGGTGCGCAAGCTGGAGCTATCGAGCCTGAAGTCGGTCAGGGACTTTGCTCAACAAATTAATGAAGAAGAGAAAAGACTTGACATTCTAGTTAACAATGCAGGTATGAACTCCATGCATAGTTTTTCCCTTCAACTTCCATAAATAGAGGTAGAGAGACAGATAGTACGATCCATTTCGTCACCGACACCACCAAGTAATACTCCATGTGTTAAACCATATTTTTTTTTCGATTTTAAGTCTTTTTTTTTTACATTTTTAAACATTATTCATCAAGGCCTACATTGCACGAGTTTTTAAAGCTTCAAGAGCTTTACTTTAATAATAACGCTAATTATCCATGACAACTTTTGCGCAAAAGTGACAATTATCGTTTTCACGAAGTACCACTCAAGTTCCATTTACCATTGTAATGCATGGCGCACTCTTCTGAAATGTGAGCAAAAACGTTTTCACAAAGAAACACTCTCTTCAAATCTTATAACACTCTCCTTGTTTAAGCGCGCACACTGACCCGAAGTAACACTCAACTATGCTGTAATACATTGAAACGAACTACTTCGTGAAAACAAAGATTTACAGTTTCGCAGCTTTTTCGGTTTCACGAACGGACACTCACCTTTTTTTCTCTTATTTCTTGTTGATTTAATACACAAACGGGTAAAACAGCAGATTTAATAAATTTAATACATCAAGTGCCCACAACGACAAACCCAACTGAAAATACCCTGCAGTTTCGGCGCAAAGTGTTGTTTTAGAAGCTAAGGCGTTCACCTTTAGATGCCGTTTTCTCCGATTGCTAGTTTTTACTGGTATGTACATGAGTGTAACTTGGTGGCGTCGCTGACGATTTATCCACACCCCTTGACCAATCACTGACAGCAGTTATTGTCTTTTTGTCTTGATTTAGTCTTTATCATTCAATCTAATACAATAATGTTAAATTTGAAACACCAAGTAAAATCGTGTTGCTTCCAGAATTCTCCTTTCTATCAAAGCATTGTAATGGCATTTAGGTTTTAATTTCATGCAATATGCACCCGTTTGCAGGTCTTTCCCGTTTGAAGCAGCGATCCTCGGCAACGGAGGACAACTTTGATCTGGTCTTCGGCGTCAACCACTTCGGCCACTTCCTGCTGACCAATCTCCTCCTGGACCTGCTGAAGAAGAGCGCCCCCAGCCGGGTGGTCACCGTCTCCTCTGCCACCCATTATTTCGCCCCTGAGCCCATGAATCTGACTCGCGAGGACCCAGCCGTGGCCAGTTTGCTGTATCCTCACTTGGAGGGCTACAACATCAGCAAGGTGGCCAACATTCAGTTTGGCCGGGAGCTGGCCAGGAGGGAAGCATCCAGCGGTGTAGTCTCCGTCTCCCTGCATCCAGGGACCATCTATACTCCAATATGGAAAAGCCTCATGACCGCTGAAACAGACTCAGTGTGGATGAAAACCCTTTACTACACACTGTCTCCGTTAATGTGGTAAGTTAAACATGCATGGTTGAGACATCATCCAAATATTAATTGCTTCCATTCTCCTCAGAAATGTTGAAACAGTTTTGGAATAATGTATACAGCTTTTAATGCCATGTAGTATCGTTTGAAATTCTCCGGGAAACCTACCTACACTGCAAAAACTGTAGTGTTAATTTAACACCATTCGGTATTTATATAGGACAACATCAGTAAAATTTAACACCAGATGGTCCTATATAGATACAAATTGTGTACATTTAACACCGCAGTTTATGCAGTGTAACAGGTCTAGAAACCCTGCTCAAAGTGCATATACCTATCTTTGGTGCGTCCGCACCTGGAGTATGCTGTGACAGCGTGGGACCAACACTTCGTGTGTAACGCCAAAACACTGGACAGAGTCCAAAGACAGCTAGGCAGCAAGATTCTGCACAAAAAATACAGTAGGGAAGAGGGAACAGTCACTGGAATCCTGGAGCACCTCAAGGGAGACCTGAAAGAGCGTAGGAAGATACAAAGACTATCAATGCTCTACAAAACCAAACACGAACTGGTTGCCATCTCACGAGCAGAGCACCTCACCTTAAACACAAGAAATACCAGGGGGCACCAACACAAATATTACAAACGACATGCAACCAAGGAAGCCTACAAGAACTCTTTCTTCCCGAGAACCATTACATAATATGGAGCAAGTTGCCAGCCAACGTCGTCAACTGTAAGACACTATTGCATGCAAGGATAGTACATCCAAGCACTTCATGGACAACTAAGGCAATGTACTAAGTCATCTCCACATCCACTCCATGCGAGTCATAAGGACAAAAGTTGGTGTGATATTCTTGAGTGAATTTTATCGACTCAACAAGAACCAGAACCAGAGGTGAAGATAGGACTGGTACCAAATACCATGTGAAGTTATTCGGTCTGAAATGTTATCGTTTGCAAGAAAATTAACATTGAATTTAGGCAGGCACACTTTTTTTGAGTGCGTCGGCAACAAAATCCAGTTGCTAGATCCAAAAATGTTGTGCATACATTTTCTATGTTTTCATAAAATGTATTGTATCGCTGAGCTTAAACTGCAGCATATAGTTATATGCACCCTACTTCAGTTTTAGGACAAGTTTAATGTTTCAAATAAACAACAAAATTGTACAGAAACCTCATTCTAGAGTAACAGGTTTTCCAAGAAAAGTGCGCATCCCGCCATTTACTACAGTAGTGTAAACCTCAATTTTCTCCCACTGCAATCTTTTCCATGATTATTCCAAACACAGTCCGCCTCTATCTCTCCCGGAGAATTGTTTTTCCTTCCTTAAATTTTGATCAATATTAGATTTAATTTCATCTTACATGTCAACGTTTTTTCAGTAATGCAGGGTTCCCTAAGTCAGAGACAAAATCATGGAATTTAAAGATATCATGGAAAATCATGGAATCTTGCACAACCCGTACGTGATTATGTATAATGTGGCTATGGCAGCCTTCTGGTTTGCATTCTGTTTACTACACTTCCTCTTTATGGTCTACATTTGTTGGTCCTTCAATGCACCATTGTGATGATTCTGTGGTGCGCAGTGGTCTTATTGTCAAACTTTAAGGCTGAAAGGGAGTGGTGTCCCTTGCCTTTAGAGCAACTGTCTCCCCGAAACAGCGGGGAGATTAGTTACGGAAACCCTTATTTTGTCCTTGAAAAGTCATGGTATTTCATCACAAGATTCCATGGGATCCCTGATCATTTGTCACCAATCACGTAAATACCAAGTATTAGATACTAAGTCCGGTAAATCTGGTTCCGAGACCCAAAGATTCTGACTTTCCCAATGAATCTCAGGCCAGATAGGTACCAGCTTCGAGTTACCGAAACTGGCAGTATTTCTATTGGTTCCAGAAATGTAAGCATTTTTTGGAACCTGCTGTCCTTGACTTTGATATGCTCGTGAAAGCTTTGATGTTAGGTGTAAAATGGTCTTACTAACAAAATTGCTTGCCATGCTTGTTTTCAGTTCTGAAAATTCAGTTCTGAAATTTCAAACCCAGGAATCGTCAGAGAGGTTATGACCTTTGATTTATATGACCGTCCGTCCGGTGAAGTTCTTTATGCCTAATTGTGAGAATATAGTCAGTTCCCCTATATGTAATTTGTTTTATTTTTTGTTATACTTTCAAAACAGGCTGTTCTTCCTTGATGAAGAAGCAGGTACCCAGACGACCCTTCACTGCGCCCTGGATGACTCGATACCTCAGCTCTCTGGAAGTTACTTTGACAACAGCCAGGTGATGGCGCCCTCAGCGCTCGCTGAGGATGACGAGCTGGCCCGGAGATTGTGGCAAGTCAGCTGCGAAGCCACCGGCTTGGAATGCACCTCAACAAATTAATGTTATTTCTGCTTTGTAGAAGACACATTCTAGGAAAAACTATCGGACCGGGCAATGAAGAGTGCGCGCGCACTGACCAATAATGTCGTGACATTTGGTCGGGTGGGGATTGTGGAATATACTGATGGAAGTAATCATTCTTCCTATTTGACATACGTACGTATCTTAATTCATCAAAAAAAATCAATTCACATTGATTTCATACAAATGTTAGTCTAAAATTTAATATGAGTTACAAGAAGCTTGCCCGAAAATAATAAATAAATGCATGCGAAATTATTTCAATTCGACGACATATAGCCATATGAATTCAACCATTGAGCACCGTTGACTTTAGGATTGGTGCCATTAAGCACAAATTTGTTTCAATACACCACCATACGAGTACCATTTGATGTTGCAACCATTGAGCATCATTGATTTTACCATTTAACATCAATAGTTTCCATACAAAACCATACAAGTACTACTTGGTATTGTTTTTTTTTATACCATTGATCACCATTGTTTTACCATTGATATCAAGCACCAATGGTTTCCACACAAAACCATACGAGTACCATTTGATATTGATTGTAACCATTGAGCACCATTGATTTTTACCATTAGTACCACTTAGCACATTGTTGCCATACACAAACCAAATGAGTACCATATAATACTGATATATTATAAACCACTGATGAGCACCATTGATTCACCATTGGTACCATTCAGCACCTATTGGTTTCTATACAATACCATACGAGTACCATTTGATATTGTTTTAACCATTGAGCATCATGGATTTTACCATTGGTGACCATTGGTTACGTTTGGTTACCATATAGCACCAAGGCAATAGGTTACCATTGAAACCATACAGGTACCATTTGTTAGCCATTAGTACCATAGGTTACCATTGGTTACCATTTACCATTGTAATTTTTTGTAAGGTAAAACTTGACCGAGAGTGCATATTTTAAAGGATGCACTCTCGGTCAAGTTTTACCCCCAAAAAATGTTTTCTTGTAATACAAATGTATTCACTTTTGAATTAATCATCGAGCAAAAGTGGTATGGAATAACTACTTTAAACTTCAAAAAAATGGATATAAGATAACCTAATCAGCCCTAGGGCAAAAGTTGAGACATGATAGAATACAACCGTATGTATACTAGTGGTATGCAAAAATTGGGGTTTTGTTTTCGGACAAATTCCTCAGTACGCACATGTGGTTGCGAAAGCCGATTTATAAAGGCTACGTAATACTTTATTTCGAATGAAACAACGTGCACACAAATTGATGTTCGTGGGCGAAGTTTGAAAATCAATTTCTCCCGTTTTGAAGACCGCATCTTCATGCAACTTTCAGGGATTGTTTCCCTTGTTATGATGCAACTGTGTGATAAAAATCGTTTTGATGTATTCAGTGTTTCAGCTGTAACACTGGTGTTTGCAATATCTGTCAATCTTTTCAAGCCTCACGAATATATATAAGGTTCATATCCATTATGGTATGTAGTAGAAATTTGCACTATCGCCTCCTCCACGAGTTATTAATTAATAAATATCACCCATAAATATCACCGCTCTGTTTTAGCTTCACTGTACGTAATCGGATTAAGTTTGCCTAACAACGCTAGACGCAAAGCCTTCGCAACCACAAGGCTGAGTAGATTGGAAAACCACACGTGTGGCCGAACGTACAGCGCAGCACGTCCACGCAAGTGGAGCTATGTTTAAACATGATCATGATGATGATGTACATGCCCAAATAGATAACATCATATTGTTGACTTTCCAGGTATCACTGTGTACAGTCCAGAAGAGAACAATGATAATGTGCACAGTCATGCATTTGCAGTTAATATAGTTTTAGGGTCAACGGTTTTCAAATCACACACACCACCCTGTACATACATGTACACTGCTTGGTGTTGATGTACGTTGTGTTCTGCAAAAAGAAATGGCACTGCTGTCTAGAGTATGCAAGTGGCTGGTGCCGATCCTAGTGGTACTGTATGCTGTGTTTTACTGGCATGTGTTTGTCAATCGGAAGTATTTCACCGACGACGTTAAGCTCAATGGAAAGACGGCCATTGTAACAGGTGGGCAGAACGATACAGTTTGGGCTTAAATGTCATTTGGCAGCATTAACTGCATTTGGCCGTTAATGATTCTGTTTTAGCTGTTACTAAAGGGCCAGCCTATATGTAATTAGACTAGTTGTTAGCTGATGATGAGAGCCGGGCAGTGTTATTGTATATGATTACCCTGTAACTCCAGTAAACGGGCTAAATCCGGCTGACTAGACCAGTTGCATGAAAAGAACTAGACTAACTCGGCTTGCCTTGTCCTGTTTTGTTTTAAATAGGAGCAAACTCCGGCATTGGCTGGTGGACAGCTCTCGACTTTGCCCAGCGAGGCGCCCGGGTCATCCTCGCCTGTCGCAATCTCCAGAAGGCTGAAGACGCCGCCAAGGAGATAAAAATGCGTACGGGCAACTCGGAGGTTGTGGTGCGCAAGCTGGAGCTATCGAGCCTGAAGTCGGTCAGGGACTTTGCTCAACAAATCAACGAAGAAGAGAAAAGGCTTGACATTCTAGTTAACAATGCAGGTATGAACTCCATACACAGGTTTTCCCTTCAACTTCGATCGAGGTAGAGAGATTGATCGATTCCCAACCCCAAATTTAAGTCTTGGCATTCTTAAAGTATGTTTGTTTAAAGTCTTTTTGTTTTGATTTGTCTTTAACAAGCGTACTTGTTGGAATAACAAGTGAAACTGTGTTGCTTAATCGAGAATTTCTTCTTTCTATCGAAGCATTATAATACATGTATTATAAGAAATTTATGTTTTTAATTCACATAATATGCACCCGTTTGCAGGTCTTACCCGCTTGCAGCAGCGAGCCGCGGCGACGGAGGATAATTTCGATCTTGTCTTCGGCGTCAACCACTTCGGCCACTTCCTGCTGACCAACCTCCTCCTGGACCTGCTGAAGAAGAGCGCCCCAAGCCGGGTGGTCACCGTCTCCTCCGCCGCCCATTATTTCGCCCCTGAGCCCATGAATCTGACCCGCGAGGACCCAGCCGTGGCCAGTTTGCTGTATCCTCACTTGGAGGGCTACCACATCAGCAAGGTGGCCAACATTCAGTTTGGCCGGGAGCTGGCCAGGCGGGAAGCATCCAGCGGTGTAGTTTCCGTCTCTCTGCATCCCGGGACCATCTATACTCCGATATGGAAAAACTTCATGACTGTTGACAAAGACTCAGTGTTGATGAAAACTCTTTACTACACACTGTCTCCTTTAATGTGGTAAGTTAAACATGCATGGTTGAGACATCCAACTAATGTTTTTATTCTCCTCAGAAACGTGTAACAGTTTTGGAATATACAGCTTTTAAAGCCATGTAGGATCGTTTGAAATTATCCGGAAAAGTACCTACATATTTAACAACAGATCTAGACCTTAGTCAACGGTGGAGATAGGACTGGTACCAAATATTCTGTAAAGCTCTTCGGTCTGAAATGGTATCGTCCGGAAGAAAACTAACATTGTAAAAGGTGGGCACACTTTTTTGAGTGCGTTAGGAGCCAAATCCAGTTGTTAGGTCCAAAAATGTTGTGCATATACAACTTCTCTGCAGTTCATAAAAAGTTGATATTCCGAGAACAAAATCATGGAATCTTGCACAACCCATACGTGATGATGCAAAATACATGTATGTGGCTATGGCAGTCTTCCGATTTGCATTTCATTTGCTGTACTTCCTCTTTATGGTCTACATTTGTTGCTCCTTCAATGCACCATTGCGATGCTTCTGTGGTGCGCAGTGGTATATGTCCGAACTTTAAGGCTGAAAGGGAGTGGTGTCCCGTGCCTCCAGGACAACTGTCTACAAACAGCGGGGAAATAAGTCACGGAAAGCCCTTATTTTGTCCTAGGGAAAGTCATGGTATTTCATTTCTGTGGGAAATCTGATGATGTTATTGTTCGTCACCAGGCTCTTTATGATAGACGAGGAAGCAGGCGCCCAGACGACCCTTCACTGCGCCCTGGATGACTCGATACCTCAGCTCTCTGGCAGCTACTTTGACAACAGCCAGGTGATGGCGCCCTCAGCGCTCGCTGAGGATGACGAGCTGGCCCGGCGATTGTGGCAAGTCAGCTGCGAAGCCACCGGCTTGAAATGCACCTCAACAAATTGATGTTTATTTCTGCCATGCACAATGTAAAAGACCCATTCCAAGACTAACCGTTTAACACTAACCGGACCGGGCAACCAAAGGTTGCACCCTGACCAATTTATACAAGTACCAGTCAGGTGACCACCATATACCTCGTTAAAAGATGTACTCTCTGTCAGGTTTTATTTTGAACAAAATTAAAGATTTTGTTCTCGATTGTTTATTTTTTTGGCAATACAAATGCATTCACTTTCGAATTAGATATAGAGCGAAAGTTGGCTGAATTCAAACTGACGTCATTAGAAATGGCCGCCATTTTTTATACAAACCCTCCAACTCCCAATTATTGTTTGAGGGACCATTCCTTTTCCCCTGCGGTTCCTTATCTTTGGAACAAACTCACAGTCAACATTCACAATGTTATTATCAAAATTACACGAAATTCAAAGAAGAAAAAAAGTGTTAAAGATTTTACTCAATTTATTCATAATTTTTAGTACACTATATCAAATAAGAGATTAAAATGAAGTTTATAAAAATGTCGCAATTAAACTCAAAATATTATCAAAGAAATTCTTGCTCTTTGTCTTAATTGTACGATATTTCTCCCAATTTTTAGGTCGGTTAATGGTGTGGTCTTAAGCAGTAGGCCTTTGTTGCCAGTGTAGGTCACTAAGGGACACCGAATGTGCACGAATCGGGAAACACCTAATTTAGTTGACCAGGCGCGGTTCTACGGGGGGGGGGGGGGGGGGGGCTATGGGGGGGCTGTAGCCCCCCAAAATTTTTGTCTAGCCCCCCCCAAAAAAAAAAAAATGCCGTAAATAAGTTCCGATTGTGATGTACATGCGAACGGTCTCCCCCTAAAGAAGAAATAGCCGTGACAAGGGTGCATTACCATTAGTTAATATAGTGTGAATGATTTTAGGATTTTATTGGCGCTCCCCATTGAAAATATGGCAAGAGCCCCCCCCCCCCCCCCCCCCTATTGATTTTCGGAGGCCTAAGTGTCTGGACAAAATAACCGGTCAACATTTCAGCACGCCTCCCTGAAAAAATTCTGGATCCACCGTGCTAGCCCCCCCCCCCCCCCCCCCAAATATTGGTTCTAGAACCGCGCCTGAGACTTATTGCTTTGGTGTTGCTTAAGCTTGTCTCGGAAAAATGCGACTTACAGGTGCCCCTGTTAATGAATCAACGAGCAATGGTTTAAGCGGCAGCACCGAACAGAATTCTTTTGGTTTTGAATAGTGGCCAACCAGTAAAATCGACGTTTCGAAGAGTGTGCTCTGTTCGTCTTCAGGAGAATGGCAGGCTAGGGGAGATGCATCTTAAAGGTAGGTAGACTTGGTTCACGACTGGACTTGTCTTTTGTTCCCGAAGAGGAATCGAATCAAGTCTTGGGAATTATGACACTTGTACCCGGAAACAACTCTGAGCATATAACGTCCCGAGTTATAGCCCTAAATGCGCTTGCCAGGGATTGGGACCGGTTTCAGACCAAGACTTGAACAAGTAATCTCTTGTCTAGGCAGGGGCGTATCTTGGGGGGGGGGGGCGGGACAGGGGGCACCTTGCCCCCTTGGCGTATTTTTTTGACAAGAATTTTTTGTTGGCAATTATTTCAATAAATGGTAAGAGTGTTCTGTCATCAATCCCCCCCCCCCCTCCAAAAAAAACCAACTCAAAAACCATTACAATGCGCCGTCTAAGGCAAAGTAAAGGGTGGTCTGGGCACCCGCCTCCTCATCAATAAAGAACAGCCTGTGTTTTGAAATGATATAAAAATCAAACAAATTACATAGGGGAACTGACTATGTTTTCTTTTAATCAGTACATGGCATAAAGAACTTGATTGGACTGATGATCATACATTGTATGTAATCAAAGGTCATAACTTCTCTGATGATTTCCGAGTTTGAAATTCAACATTTTTAGTACTGAATTTTCAGAACTGAAAAACAAGCATGGCAAGTATTTTGTTAGTAAAACTATTTTACACCTACATGTAATAACAAAGCTTTTGCGAGCATATCCGAGTCAAGGAAAACATATTTTAAAAAACTCCTTTTCTGGAACCAAGAGAAATACTGCCCCTTTTTGTAACTCGAAGCTGGCACCTACCTGATCTTAGATTCATTGGGAAAGTCAGAATCTTTGGGTCTAGGAACCAGATTTACTAGACCTAGTACCTAATATCTAGCACCTAGTACCTGGTACCCGGTACATAGTACCTAGATCCTGGTACATGTACCTTGCACAAGTGTACAATGTACCATGGTGCCATCTACACCTGTTTTCACAGGGCCACACTTACCAAAAGAATGGAAGACTAAAGAAGTGATAGACACTAGTGATCCAGTCCCTGGACATGTGACTCCAGATAGGGGTGTAAATCATGCCGGGGTGGAGCGACACAGAGGTGACATCGGTGGATTCCAGACGCCTGGCCAGCTCCCGGCTGAAGAGGACATTGGCCAGCTTGCTCAGAAAGTAATCCTTCAGGTACGGGTACAGAACGGGACTCTGTCCACTGGGGTCCTCGCGGGTGAAGTCCAAGGGAACGGACACCCATCTGTGCCCTATGGAGGAGACGGTGACCACCCGACTTGGGGCGCTCTTCTTCAACAGGTCCAGGAGGAGATTGGTCAGCAGGAAGTGGGCGAAGTGGTTGGTGCCGAAGATGGCGTGGAAGCTGTCCTTGGTGACGTCACCCTCTTTGGCAAATGCAATACCTTGCAATTAAAGGGTAGGTTTATGTAAATCAGACGGGACACAAAGGGGCTTAGAAATATATTAGGGGCAGAAGGCCCATGGTGTGGGCCTCTGAATGATGACGCCTAGCAGCGATGTCCAGTCAACTTTCCGAGAGAACTTTCTGAGATTCTGAGAAGGAAAGTGTGGACTGAATGTCTGTGATCCCAAGTGCAGCCAAATATAAACAGGATCAGGTCATGAACTGTACTCAGACTTTGCCCAACAAAATTCTTTAACAGGCTAAAGGAATAATCCACAATATTTCGCTGCACAGAAATGAGAGCTCCAAATTATTGGATTGCCATTTGTTCAGTAGCAGTACTAGACAGGGAAAGGTGGGGGGGGGGGGCAAGAAAGGAATTTGACCCAGGATACCTTTATTTTAAACTTCTTTTGTTCATGACAAAATGGTCTTTATAATGTCATCAAGTGACGACTGTAGTTTAACACAGGTAGCACCTGTGCTCAACGTTTGGAAACAAGACTTTCGATTGCACCCCAAAACCAATAGCCCGAATTTTGTAGAGTCTGATGCCACCACTACTTTACATGGTGCAACAAGGCTACACAGTCCACACAGAATCCATAAAATTTAGACTCACCCGCATTGTTGATCAGAATATCCAATCTGTCTTCACTTTCAACGATCTTGCTCGCAAACTCTCTGACAGACTGCAGGCTGGCTAGATCCAGGTGGCGCACCACGACCTCCGAGTTGCCCGTACGCGTTTTGATCTCCTTGGTGGCGTCTTCGGCCTTCTGGAGATTGCGACAGGCGAGGATGACTCTAGCGCCTCGCCGGGCCAAGTCCAGGGCCGTCACTTTGCCGATACCTGAATTGGCCCTTAATGTACAAGAAAACTTGTACATTTTTCCCAATTTTGCACAACAGGAATAGTATCTGCGCCTGAATTGCATCAAAAACAATATATAAATTGCCTTCAGTTCCCCTTCCCTGGAAAATTGGTGCACCCTCAGCTCAGGTGCCCCCCAGAACTTAAATGTTACCAGTCTGATATCCATACTAACAAAAGTTAGGGTATGTGCACAGGGCGTCATGCATCCTGACTATGGCACGCCAAAGCGGAATTTATTCAACCCTGCACGGCAACTGCCAACATTATAAAATACATCACAACTTTTTTGAAAAGTATGTCAACATTGTAAAATATATGTCAACATTTTAAAAAAGTATGTCAACATTTTAAAAAAGTATGTCAACATTTTAAAAAATATGTCAACATTAAAAAAAAAACATGTCAACATTGTAAACAATATTTCAAACGTATGTCAACATTTAAAAAATATATGTCAACGTTTCAAAAACGTATGTCAACATTTACAAAATATATGTCAACTTTTTAAAAAATATATTTCAACATTTCAAAAACTTATTTCAACATTAAAAAATATATGTCAACATTTAAAAAAAATATGTCAACATTGTAAACAATATGTCAATATTTCAAAAACGTATGTCAACATTTCAAAAATATATGTCAACATTTTAAAAAAATATGTCAACATTTAAAAACAAATTATGTCAATATTTAAAAAATATATGTCAACATTTAAAAAAAAATATATGTCAACATTTAAAAAAAAATGTCAACATTAAAAAAAAATATTTGTTCTGATTAATCAACTAGAAATTACATGTCAACATTGCCAAAACTACCTACTACTTGTTGACAAGTATATGTGTCAACCCATCCTGCGACAAAGTTCACCTAAAATACGTGTCAACATTTCGTCCAAAAATATGTGTCAACACAACCCGATGAAAAATATATGCCAACATTCACGTGACCGCCACGACGGAGTACATGCGCGAAGTATGCTGCGCTAGCACCCGGTGTAACGGTCTCACTTCTCCGGCGTGCTGGATTCTCCGGGTGAATGCGGCGGATAATTGAGCACGTTACAGTGCACGTTACATGAGCACGATACATGCTCATGTGTCCGCTGTGCTTACTTTTCCTCGGGCAGTGCTATGGAGTCTACCAAGTCCACCCAACAGGGTGCAGTGAACTAATTCAAGTGAGAATTTCTACGCGAGCTGATTAGCATAAAAAAGTGACCCCACAGTTTCTTTCGGGAGACAGTTTGGCTAAAAAAAACCCGGTGGAACTGTGTAAATATAGCCAAGGATCAACTCCCTGGTTTTGGGGCTTCCATCTGAGGGCAGGCTTGATAAAATTACGGTTGAAAAACGGGTCCTATTTGCCTGAGAAAGTGGAAGGATGCCACTTGTAAAACGGCTACATGCAGGCTTGGGAACTATCACTTTTCGGGAGGTGATTTTGTTTTGGTGTGAATATTTAAAAATGTAATCGGCTAATCTACCCAAAATTGAAAAGAAATGAAAAGATGAAGTACAAGATAATAATTGAATTTTTGTTTGAGAAACCCCAGTGATGTCGGCGTGCATGTTATTTGGCCCTGAACTTTGTTGATTTTACACTGTTTTCAATGGGGCTTGAATTGGTTCAGTGCACCCTAAGGGAATTTTTGGAACCAGACTAAAGCTGCTGCAAACTCATTCCGCCGAGAGCTAGAGGTAATCGAACTCGTTGGTCCGTGAATCTTGATATAGCTTGTATTCATAGATTTTTTAAAATGTTGACATATTTTTTTTATAAAAGTTGACATATTTTTTTAAAATGTTGACATATATTTTTTTGATGTTGACATAAGTTTTTGAAATGTTGACATATTGTTTACAATGTTGACATATTTTGTTTTTAAAAGTTGACACATTTTTTTTAAATGTTGAAATATATTTTTTAAATGTTGACATATATTTTTTAAATGTTGACATACGTTTTTGAAATGTTGACATATTGTTTACAATGTTGACATATTTTTTTTAAATGTTGACATAAGTTTTTGAAATGTTGACATATATATTTTAAAATGTTGACATTTATTTTTTAAATGTTGACATACGTTTTTGAAATGTTGACATATTGTTTACAATGTTGACATATTTTTTAAAATGTTGACATACTTTTTTAAAATGTTGACATATATTTTACAATGTTGACATACTTTTCAAAAAAGTTGTGATGTATTTCATAATGTTGGTAGTTGCCGTGCAGGATTGAATAAATTCCGCTTTGGCGTGCCATACCTGACCATGGCGGACGAAGGACCTATCATCATGACGGACAAGGTAAGAACAAATGTTGGATCTTTGCCACAAGAACAAATGAGAAAGCTACCGAGGACATGAGAAAGGAAGGAAAACGTGTGTGGTAGCATGGTGGTAGTATCAGCAAAATTGCACAGGCAGTCCTCATCAATAGGGTCAAATATTCAGACACTGTAAAAATGTCAACTGCTTTCGAAATTTGAGTTTCGTTTCTCATATGCAGTACAGTCACATTCAGGGTGACCGTAAGGTCACAGCCAAATTCTGCTAAATGCACCTCAAAAATCTGTCAGATTTATCAAAAATCTGCCAAATTCTCCAGAATTACTCAAATACACTTAAAATCACATGCAGATTGGTAGTATTGCCTTAATTAAGGTTCAAATTAAGAAACAATCTAGTCACATACAGATATTTTGGTAAATTTTGGGCAAAATGCGGATCCGGCCACGTGAAGACGAAGTCCGTTTCCCAGTGAACCTCGGCACCTAGACAAGCCAACCTGTCCCATTATGCAAGGGTTTGTTTGAAATGATTGAAGCTTTTTTAAACAAAATGTACACTTTTTTTGTTCAAATTTGCTGTTTTTCTGTCAAATAACCATTTTGCAGAATTCTGCCAGAAATCTGCCAAAAAAATTCCATTCTGTCAAATTTTCTGTCAAACTCGTTTTTTTAACAAAAATTCTGTCAAAGTTAGCCGAAAATCAGCTAAAACGGTCACCCTGGCCACATTATGACATGACATAAATGGGCGGGTTGGTGGGACACTGCGTCCAGCTAGGTAAAAAAGGGGCGTTGGTGAAAATAATTGTATTTGTATCAAATAACTAATATGCCTACATGCAGATGCAACATTGTACTAGTATTTAGACACCGACCACGTCAGTTTGTGAGTTTGTTGGGAAACCCCGGCCGCCCATTTTGTTGGATCTGGGAATTCCCGTTTTTGTTATCATGATTTGATTATTTATTTAGCCTATCTAAGTTGGGTTTTTACATGTTTGCTATTTAAGCTAATTGTATTCAAAGTCTATGTGAGGCAAAAATATTTTAATAATCATCAGCCCTAAATTTAATATTTGTTTTGGGTCGTCTTATCAAATTTTGTGTAGTATCGGACACCTCTATTTTTTACTTGTTCTGTTCAAAAGCGAAGGAGTGTCAATTCCAAAATTACTTTTGCAGCCTCCAGAAGTCTTTGTTATTTAGATAATTAAACTCTTTAAGGTTCTATAAATTTGATGAATACTTTGGATGAAAATGTGACTTTTTACCTGTTTTTGTAGTAGTGACGTGCGAGTCACTGAAGTTCAGAGACCATTTCCTGTCTGCGGAAGTTTTACCCCCATAATTTCCCACATATAACAGAACCCTGCATTCTTTCTACAAAATTAAGCCTGCTTATATTGAACATGGTATCTTAGCAAACTGTTCAGGTGAGTCCAAACAAATAAGCGACTTTTCATGCTTTTATCATCGCCAAAATATTAAGTGAAGTCCCGAAACACAGGACTGTTTTTTTTTGTTCTCTTATATGGAACAGGGTCCTAAACTGCATGATTACCCCAAATTTAATTATTCTCCTAATTCCCCAATTTAATTTTGGGACTTCAAGTTCTTACAGACCCCTGGAGATGTGGATCCAGAACTGAGTCTTACAAATAGCGAACTTCCATCCCCAGCTTACGATGAAATTGCACAAGGTATGTGTGTTAAAAGTCATGTCTCATGTACTGTATTCCCATGTTTGAGCATAACTTTAAAGCTAGCTTAACCAAGAATAGAAGTGCTTGGTTCTAGATTGACAAGTCAGGGTTTCCTTTGGAGAGTATTATGAGTTCATTGCAACTGAATGTCAGAAAAAAGAGATCCAGGGAGGGGTAATTTTCATGTGAATTTGTAACTGAGATCAAATTTGGTCATCTCGGTTTCAAAGGGAAACTCAACGGTGCGGACAGTATACTCTGCCCGCTGTCAGGGAAGGGGTTCCACCAGAGAAGGAGTGTTATGTAGTGTGACTAGAAGCAGTGAAGGGCGTGATGAAGGACCCAGTATCTCCTGCTCTGGTTCCACAGCTGCATCATTCACACGCTTCACCGCTGGAATCCCTTCAGTCTCCTGACGACAAGCAGAGCGTACTGTCCCAAACGTTGAGTTTCCCCAAGTTTCTTTCAAGAACCTCACAAACTCACAAAAGAGATTTGTCACATGATACTACTCTAACCTTCACCTTATTAGTAAGGTAAGACTAATATAAATCACTTGAACACATTCTTGGCCTATACCTACACATTCAAAAAGCTGCCAAAAGTGTTTGGTAGTGCTAACTACCTTCACTACGTATCTGACAAAACTCTTCCAGATATTTAACACAGTATTAGGCTGTGTTCCTGATGAATGTTGTTTTGTAATGATGTCTTAATTGTGTTCTTGACAGATGCCCCACCTTCTTACCAGGCCATTTTTGGCAAGATGCAAGATGCCAAGAATACATCCTCCACTCCGGTGCACTTTCTAGTCAAAGTCATCAGCATCTTACTCAACACAAGTATGCATTAGCAGTTTTAGATTTTTAGATACAATACCATCCCAGAAACGAAGGAGATGTGAAAAAACCCGTAAATGTATCAAATGAATGTATCAATGTCTCATATTGCTGTGTCCTTTTGTTGTGTTTCTTGAACTTCGATTTGACCTACAAAGTTGAACAGATTGTAATGTATGGTAGTAGGAAAATGTCTTGTAATTATTGTTTCTTAATTCCTGTTCTGTTTTACAGTTGTTGTCACAGTTGTTCTGTGTGTAATGCTGGCTGTTCCTATCGCTATGATTGTAGTTGGTAAGAGTTTACAACACATGTCTTTTTTTGGTTTTCAAAATTGGTTGGTATTCCAATTAATTCAGATCTTTAACCCTGGTTTTTTGTAAAGTAACATTTTAGACAAAATTCCAAACATTTTTGGATGAATTGAATGATGAACTGATAAATCCAATTAACAAATAAAGTGAATGTATCGGAGCCCAAAAGTGCAACATATGAAAGATAAACAAATACATTCCACTTGTGTAATTTCGAACAATTTCAGCAAACCTCAACTACGGATATTTTTGAAGACGATGGCACTTAGCGTTAATAATCAAATTAGATGTGCGTATGCCACTTTATAAGTTTTGAAATATTTTGTTTGACCCGCAGGTGCCATATACATAGATGATTGTCCCGTTGAGCCTAAGATCCCCATCTATTTGGTAGTGACTGGATCCTTCTACATCCTGAAATCAGCCATTGATCTGATCGTCAGGTGCAAGAGGAGACAAGACCAAGACGCTGAAGGCTATAATGAGGAAGAACCGGAGAACAGAAAAGAAAACATTTTCAGTCGTCTCATAGGATGCTTCCTCTTTGCATTCTTTATTGCTGGTAGGTTTTCCTGTTTTCCTTTGAAACCTTTGCCAAACTTCACTGTTTGGGTAAGTGAAGAGATTAAATGAAACAGGATTTACATATGTACTACCTATGATACTGCCATAACAAGTAAGTTTTGAAGAGAAACAAAGGCATTCATTATTGGGTTTTGAAAATTGCATGTGACTATCCTGGCAAATTAAAGAAGACCTTACTTAAAGAGGACAAATTGGGTGGGATTATATTTGGTTTGTTTGATTTTATAATTGTTATTTTCCATTTGATTGCTAGGTAACGTGTGGGTGTACAGGAACTATCCACCGAGTGACGACATCGGCGACGCTAATTACTGCTTTGGTCCGTTGTACTACTTTGCCTTTTGGATTATAACAAGTTGCTACATCCTGGTTGCATTAGTATGCTGCTGTATCTGCTGTGCTGCAGGTGCAACTGCTTACTTTAGTGAGTGAAAAACTGAAGCAAGTTTAGAGAAATCACTCTTCAAACTGTAGCCTTGGTCAAGGCGCTAGTTGGTTTTTATCCGGCCGTAGCGCGGTATAATGCATGCAGTCATAATGTCTATGCGCTATGCATGCAGTACAGTGCATTAAAAATACAGCGCGAACAGCGACCACACGCGGCCACTATTTTTATGCAAATCAGTTGGACCCAATATATTGGGTCTAACTAATTTGCATAGAAATGGTGGCCGCATGAGGTCGCTGTTCGCACTGTATTTTAATGCACTGCATAATGCATGGCCTTAGCGAGGATATCGTTTACGCGCCACGGCCGGGATGAATAACATTTAGCGCCTTGACCGAGGCTATTCAAACTATTGTTTCCAATCTGATAAAGCTACTAAGCAGACAAAGATGCTTACTGGTTACCAACTGATTATCTATCAAGTATCAACATGTCATGGGATATCATAGAGTTATATTTAAAACCTAGAGAGTGCACACCCTGTGCGCGCATGTGCCGACATGGACGCGCAACCGCCATATTGTAGATGGAACAATGGAAGACATTTGAATTGTTTTCTAAATAAAGCGCTTGTGTGCGTACGTATGACGTACGTACACCTTGCATTCAGAGACTGAGTGCACTTGCGCAGTTTGTTTACTTTGACTGAGCTGATGACGTTTTCCAAGCCGTTGCTAAGCCTGGCAGGGCTTATGACCAATCCTGATTGGTCCATCTAAGGTATGGTGGCTGCGGGTCCATGTCGGCATGTCCGCTTGTGCACGTAGTATACGGAGTATGCTCTCTAGTTTTTAAAATACTAGTGCAGGGCCAGTCTAAAATGTGCGTGTTCGGAAGAGGCAGTTGAGAACTGCAGCTCGTGCAAACAACGCACATTATTCAATGGTGTGAACGCACACTCGCAAGTTAAACGCACAAAATGTCGTCACCCCATTGGCACTGATATTTACCCCTACTGGACAATATGGTATCGCCCTACAACTGTAGGGCGTAGTTGTGACAGGCACCCTGCTCATTTTTATGTAGCAGAATAAGCTACTATGTATGATTTTTCTGTTAAGTAGCTCCAATATCTAGGTTGACGTCTGACTTTCAAATTAAATTTTCTTCAATTGTTTTTTTGTTTTTATATGAATGGTATGAATCAGGAGATTGGTTTTCACTCAAATACATGACATTTATTGTCATCAATGGTAGACTACTTGTGGAAAGTAGATTGGCTATCACCGTTACCTATTTTAAGGCTAAATAACACTAATGGTTTGTTCTTTTTCACAGTATGCAGAGTACCCAATAATGTACAGGTTAACAGATAGGAAGAAAGTTCAGTTAAATTTTCATTAGTGCAATGTCGCCTTGAATTATGTGATTCAGCTTTCATATTATTGTTAAGTGGTCTTTAGTCTTTAAGAAAAAAAAAAGGTTTTGGAGCAAATTATGTTTAAAGCTTGCCTGCTAATTTCTCATCAACACCCTTATTCACTTCACCAGATTTGCTCTTTGTATACTGCAAAAGTACATGTGTAAATATTTTTGTTTACAACTCTCTGCATGATTGAAGTCATGCATTCACAGTACTTGATCCCCTGTAAAATTGCTAGAAAAATGTGATTTTAGTAAACCCTGCTAAAGACTGCATGGCTAAAAAAGGTTGCAAAAGAGTGTACCTATTTACTCTGTCATATCTCGTGCACTGTAAATTTGGTACTATATAGCCTTTAGTCAAGTCCCACGCGCTTATCTGGACACGCGACACACCCCGGATGCTGGCACGTAAAAAGACTAGCACGAGCAGCGAAGCCGCGAGGGCCTTTACCATCTCGTGGAGAGCGCTTATGTTTTTCTTTACATTTGTCTACCGATTTGGTAGACAAATTTTCATGCATAATGCATGACATGTTGTGAATGCGTGTGCGTCTTGTTTTTTTTAGAACGCGTGTGTCATCGCCTCAAAAATGGCTTGTTGGTGGTGATTGGTTCATATATATCGGCATGCATGCATAATTCATTGTACTTGAAAACATGAGTAATGATTATTCCACAAGATGGTTAAGGCGCTCCTGGCTTCGCCACTCAACTGGTCTTTTTTTCGTACCAGAATCTGGGGCACCACGCGTTCAGGTAGACACGTGGGCCTTGACTAAAGGCTAAGTACTATAGGGATTCTTTTACCAAAAAATAAGTTCTTCTATGAAGAAAAAAATATTAAATCTTCTGTGAAAAATCCAGTGAATACAGCATCCCAATTTCAAAAATGAAAATTACGTTTTAGTTGTGGTGACCATAGTGTTAAAGACTGAATATTAAGTTTTAAGCCTACAAATTCAATTGTTTTGAACTTTTCACAGAATATTCACAAATAATTTATGTAATTCAATAAAATTTGACATCCTCTCTTTTAGGAAATCTAACTTGTAGCAGAGAGACACAATGTTTTCTGCAGTTTCAGTTAAAATCAGTCATGTGTCATGAATATTTCAGTACTACAATGTATGTATGTTTGGTGTAATTACGGAATTCTAGATAGAATTATTTCAACTGATAGTTCTCTTGCTGTTTTTCCGCATTATCATTACAATTTCTAGATGACTTTCTAATGAAATATGTAAAACAGGTACACGTACCAGTTTAACCCGTAGCTTAAACGGCTTAAAAGAATAATTTCATTTTATCTCATTTGCTCAATCTTTATGTATGTGACCTTATTTTTGTTTTGCTCACATGGGTAATACACAATCTCTAAGTTGCTTCCTTTACGCCATTAACCCTAAAGGGGCCGGGTTATTTTGACCATCTCTCAGCCGGGGGGGGGGGGCGGATTCCGCCCCCCCTAAGATCTCGGCCATCGAGTGACGAAAATTTTTGAAACTCACTACATACATAGAACAACTCTTCCTCAACATGCCCAAGAAATTTCATGACTATAGGTCAAAGGGTTTTGGAATTATGGCTAATTAATTATTCATATGTATGAATGCCAATTCTGCTCGGTGTACACGACCTATATGCGAAAATTCAGTTTTCACGGCGGGTAGCGCCGGAAATTTTTTCGCTACGTGCAAACCCGTGGTCCGATTTTTATGTTTTTGGTATCAAAAGATGCGCAAAGCTCGAGGCTAAAAAGTCATAATAGCTCGGGTCGCGAAAAAATTTTTTTTAGAAGCTATCGCGGAAAATGTTGAGGGGGGCGGATTCCGCCCCCCCCCGGCCCTTTTAGGGTTAATTTGCAGCCGCATTACTGTTTGCTTTCTATGTTTTGTGCTTGAAAAATTGGAATTGTTGTAATTTGGTGAAGGAATGAATGCAAGAAAACGGTAAAGGTGAGTCCCTGTTTAAGTCATAATTGAATGTACATGGTTATAAATCACACTAGTGGGTGATAGTAATTACTTTCCTGTTGTTGCTTGTATATTAAGTACATGTGTAATATGTAGATATTTGGATAGAAGAAGTGTCTCAGATCTTCGAAGAAAGGGAGTTGGTTTGAGGTTGAGGAAAGTTATAGAAGAAGAAAAACCCAGGAAATATAGTACTTTAGTATGTTTAGTTTGCATTGAACATCACCGGTCAAATTTAAACTCGGTTTCTGAACTTGCCGAATCAAAACAATTGTCAAGTGTACAGTTTATAATTGGAAATCTTACTTTCTTAGTTGTTAGGCTGGTCTGTCTTCTTCTAAGTAAAAGCGACAAATTAATATCAACAAAGGCCCTACCTGTAATTATAACTGTCTTTCCTTTGAGCACAGCATCGCTACTGTAGTAATGGCAACTACTGATTAACTGCCAATAATACACACTGTAAAATGCCACTAAAATAGGCAAAAAACACCTCCAAACTGTGGACAATCCTACCATGGTCGTTAACATATGTTGCAGCGAAACTCACGTGCACATTTTGGATTAAGTTCACAGCGCCCTCACGAGTTTACGCCTTTTCTGGGGGCCGTTATAGCTGGGTGCGTTCGAGTAGTTCACCTCGATCGAATCGGGTAAAGCTGAAAGTCAGACTAGCTTACGGAAGTGTATTTAGGACATGACCAAAAAAAAAATCCGGCCCTCTATTTCGCCCGGGCGGATTACTTTTTCGCCCGGGCGGATTACTAATTCGCCCGGGCGAATTATTATTTCGCCCGGGCGGATTACTAATTCGCCCGGGCGAATTACTATTTCGCCCGGTCCGTGACAAGCGAGGTCACTATAAGATTAATCGAATCCAGTCTTTGCAATATTGGCAGCGCTACCCAGGAAATTCCGAGCATACCTCACGCCCGCTTTATTCACGCGCGTGAGGTAGGCCTATGCTCGGAATTTCTGGGTAGCGCTGCCAATAGACTGGAAACGGCCAGCGATCGCCAGACACCGAAAAGCTTGGCGATACAGTGGTAAAATGTATGAACCATTCACGGAAAGAATGCAGTGTCCGAAGCCAACTCTTTGGTTGTGTACAATGTCTATATAGAGTCCAGTGAATTTTCTAACAAAATTGGAAATGTTTCCAAGTCCCAGATTCATGTCTTTTCAACATTTCTGCAATAAGCAACCTTCATTGAGATAATGTATGATAAAAGAAAGGGCGACAGGATGCAGCATTCTTTCCCCATTGACTATTGGAGACACTTAAATTGTGTTTAACTTCATTTCATTTTTGATTGTGCCAGTTGGAAAAAAACTTTATTGGGAGTGAAATACTGACACATTTAAATGCTATAATGAAAACACACAATTGCACATATTGATAATTCTGTAAAAAATGCGCTTTTTATTTTTTAATTCATTTAATCAGCTGCTAAAATATCATGTACATGTAAAAGTATTTTTGGAAACATTTTCATCAAAAACGGGACAATTGAAACAAATGTGACAATTGTTTTTTTTTTTTAATAAGTATGTAATACTGACAATCATTCACTTTAGATATTAATATAGAGTTTACAATTTTAATGAAATACCTAAATAACATTGCATAAAAAGGTGCAAATTTAAGAAATAAAATCTACTATTAGATGTTTGTGTTCATATAATATATTTTACATTTAACTTGCCAAACATTCAATACGTGGGTGTAAGATGGCTTCATATAGAAGCCACAATGGTGACAGGGAGGTGTGTGCTTTTATTCAATAGGGATGCGCATGAGTAGACCTCTTGTGCATTCATTGTTAATGAATTAACATAACAAAACACACCTCCAAGACGTCTGCCGAATGCAATCGATCTATACTGTAAAGGGTAAGTAAAAAAAAAAAAAAAGGAAACCAAATGGGCCCCTATTTTTTTAAAGAATTTCTGCATGTAGCGCTTTCTAAATGTAGGCTATGAAAGACCAAGTAATAAGCTTTCTTTTTTTTAATGAAAGAATCATTCAAAGCACTTATGTTCTTTTAAACACATGCACACACCGTTTTTTAACCTTGTCCACGGATCACATTTAAGGTACGTGATATTTAGTAATAATGAAACCATGTCATATCCTGAAAGTGATATCAGAATAATCCCATAAGTGTCCCGGGTAGCCAAGTAGAAGGCAGGGCAAGACTATAAACTCTTGACATTGTAAAGCATGTTATTTTAACCTTGGAAGCAGCAGGCTTTCAAATAAATGCTATGATAAGTGCCAGATATCATGGTTCATATGAGAGTTTTCTGATGTGTTTTTGGTGAATAGTTTTTGTTTCACTGAAATATCACTTACCTTTATTGTGATCCGTGGACGAGGTTTAAAAAAAATGGTGTTTGTGTTCAAAATCCCATAACTGGAAAAGTACATGAGCAATTTGGATGATTCTTTCACTAAAAGAAACTTTATTAATTGGGCTTTCATATCCTATATATCTGGAAAACGCTACCTGCAGAACTTATCTAAAAAAAATATATTGTTTACACACACTGTATTGTCAAGTTATTGATGTAATTACCAAATAAGGCAATTAGCCGCGTAGTTAAATAAAACAGCATGAATATCAAGTTCCCTTACAAATGAAGCCTCTGACTTTTTAAATATGTTCATGATAATAATCTTAACATAAAATGCACATTTTATCCTCTTTAAATGTACACTTTACCAAGTAGAAGATTGATGTTCTTTCAAAGGTGCACTGAATAGTACATCCTTTGTAACGTGTTTGAATACCAATTGCTTTTTCCTTCATAGATAAAACATTTGCAAACATCAAAAACGAAATGACCACATTATCACGAAATCCCTACTGGATTGTTAGGAGTGATAGTCTAAAGCATCCTGTAGAATCGTGGCTACTGATGTGCTAACATTTTTAAGAAAACTTCGATTTTTCCAACGCTGGTCGGCCAACCAGCGTTGGAGAAAACTGGCTGTTTTCAAAAACTGCTTCTAAATGTTCATATTTAGTTATTTCTCATTTTCTTTGCAATTGATTACACACCTGTAAAGGAGAACAAGCCTGCTAAACCGATTCTCTGACCTTACATTTCCCCAAAGTCTAAAATTGCTCCGTTTCATCTAAAGTGGAGTCAGGGAACAAGACTACAAGAACATGATTGGTTTTCTTGGTTTTTCCAGCATCTTCAAGTCCAAAACGTGAAACAAGTCAGTTTAACAATATTTTCTATAACATACCTGTACTTATCCTTCCAATCCATTTATGTCGGAAAATTGCAGCACAAGCAAATGTTGTACCTTCCCTTTAATCATATCATGTTTGTCAAAATCTTGGGGGAAAAACGTTGTCAGTGGGGCACTAACTCCAAGAATCACTTCACCCTTTACAAAACAATACTGCTGAAAAGATGCAGCCGGAGATGAGTAATTGTTTCATGGTGGCTTGCTCAAGGACACTAGGCACCATTGCTTAAAGCCAGCCAACACACGGGCTCAGAAATCGTACCCAGAGATGATAAGATGATGAGAAGGCAGGGCATGAGTGAGAAGGAGATGATGAGTAATTGTTGTCAAGTGGCTTGCTCAAGGACACTAGCCACCATTGCTTAAAGCCAGCCAACACACGGGCTCAGAAATCGTACCAGAGATGATAAGATGATGAGAAGGCAGGACATGAGTGAGCAGGAGATGATGAGTAATTGTTGTCAAGTGGCTTGCTCGTTAGACGAGGCTTTGCCTGCTATCAGATGCCATTTGGTGGTATACACCTTATGCATAGCGGTCATCTTAGAGAATGTTTTGGTCATTTAAATTCAGTAACAATGAACACACAAAATGTCTAGTTGTACATGTATCCCAGTGAAACAAAGGACTTGTCCTCTAAGATGGCCGCTACGCATAAGGTCTAAAGACATGAATCCTAGGCTAGGATCCTAAGTAACTCCAATTTGAAAATTACCTTTTTAACGTCATCTATTTTTTGGCGTTCTATAAGTACTGTTTGTGCGCAGAAATTGGTGCCATTTTGTCGCCCTCTATCACCAAAAAAATATGGCCTATTACAAAAGTTGGAAGGATTTCTCTAACATTCCAAGCCAGTTGCTTCGCAGCTGACTTCCCACAATCTCCGGGCCAGCTCGTCATCCTGAGCGGCTGCTGATGGCGGTGCTACCTGGCAGTTGTCGAAATAGCTCCCGGAAAATTTAGCGACCGACTCGTCTAAGGCACAGTAAAGGGTGGTCTGGGCACCCGCCTCCTCATCAATAAAGAACAGCCTGTTTTGAAATAATAAAAAAAAATCCAAACAAATTAAATTCATATTTTCTTTTAATCAATCAAAGGCATAAAGAACTTGATTGGACTGATGATCATATGTTATCAAAGGTCATAACTTCTCTGATGATTTCTCTGAGTTTGAAATTCAACATTTTTAGTACTGAATTTTCAGAACTGAAAAACAAGCATGGCAAGCATTTTGTTGGTAAAACCATTTTACACCTACATGTAATGAAGCTTTTGCGAGCACATCCAAGTCAAGAAAAACATGTTCCAAAAAACCTCCTTTTCTGGAACCAAGAGAAATACTGCCCGTTTTGGTAACATGAAGTTGGCACCTAACTGACCTTAGATTCATTGGGAAAGTCAGAATCTTTGGGTCTAGGAACCAGTTTTACTGGACCTACATGTAGTACCTAAGACCTAGCACTTAGTACCTGGTAGCTAGTATCTGGTACCCGGGACGTAGTACCTGGTACCTTGCATGAGTGTGATGCCATGCACAGTTTTTTTTTCACAGGTCTACACTTACCAAAATACTGGAAGACTAAAGAAGTGATAGACGCTAGTGATCCAATCCCTGGACATGTGACTCCAGATAGGGGTGTAAATCACGCCGGGGTGGAGCGACACAGAGGTGACATCGATGGATTCCAGACGCCTGGCCAGCTCCCGGCTGAAGAGGACATTGGCAAGCTTGCTCTGAAAGTAATCCTTCAGGTACGGGTACAGAACGGGACTCTGTCCACTGGGGTCCTCGCGGGTGAAGTCCAAGGGAACGGACACCCATCTGTGCCCTATGGAGGAGACGGTGACCACCCGGCTGGGGGCGCTCTTCTTCAGCAGGTCCAGGAGGAGATTGGTCAGCAGGAAGTGGGCGAAGTGGTTAGTGCCGAAGATGGCGTGGAAGTTGTCCTCGGTGACATCACCCTCTTTGGCAAATGCAATACCTTGCAATTAAAGGGTAGGTTTATGTAAATCAGACGGGACACAAAGGGGCTTAGAAATAAATCAGGGCAGTAGGCCCATGGTGTGGGCCTCTGAATGATGATGCCTAGCAGCGATGTCCAGTCAACTTTCCGAGAGAACTTTCTGAGATTCTGAGAAGGAAAGTGTGGACTGAATGTCTGTGATCCCAAGTGCAGCCAAATATAAACAGGATCAGGTCATGAACTGTACTCAGACTTTGCCCAACAAAATTCTCCTACAGGCAAAAGGAATAATCCACAATATTTTGTTGCACAGAAATGAGAGCTCCAAATGATTGGATTTCCATTTCTTCAGTAGCAGTACTAGACAGGGAAAGGTAGGGGGGGGGGGGGGGGGGGGGGGGGGGACAAGGAAGGAATTTGACCCAGGATACCTTTATTTTAAACTTTCTTTATTCGCTGAGATTTTGAGTTTCTCAAAAAATTATCATTGATCTACAAGACCCCCCCCCTCCATGAAATGTTCCAGCCCCCCCCCACTGAAAAATACCTGGCTACGCCACTGCTACACAGTCCACACAGAATCCCAGTACAAAGTTTAGACTCACCCGCATTGTTGATCAGAATATCCAATCTGTCTTCACTTTCAACGATCTTGCTCGCAAACTCTCTGACAGACTGCAGGCTGGCTAGATCCAGGTGGCGCACCACGACCTCCGAGTTGCCCGTACGCGTTTTGATCTCCTTGGTGGCGTCTTCGGCCTTCTGGAGATTGCGACAGGCGAGGATGACTCTAGCGCCTCGCCGGCCAAGTCCAGGGCCGCCACTTTGCCGATACCTGAATTGGCCCTTAATGTACAAGAAAACTTTGCACAACAGGAATAGTATCTGCGCCTGAATTGCATCAAAAACAATATATAAATTGCCTTCAGTTCCCCTTCCCTGGAAAATTGGTGCACCCTCAGGTAGGTACCCCCCCCCCCCCCCCCCCCCACAGAACTTAAAGCTTCAGGTGAGAAAAGGAAAAAAAATCGAAAACTGAGATATGAACCGCAACCTCGCGGTGCAAAATCCTACCCTCTATCGACTGAGCTGTCGCACTGCTCGCTAAAACGAGGGGAAACAAATAATTATATAACTGCGTGCGTATCAAAAAAGTATCGTAGAGGGCGCTAAACAACGGCTGCCGTAACGATAGCCACTTCGTAATATCAACATAGGCCCTACCTGTAATTATAACTGTCTTTCCTTTGAGCACAGCATCGCTACTGTAGTACTGGCGACTACTGATAAACTGCCAATAATACACACTGTAAAATGCCACTAAAATAGGCAAAAACCACCTCAAAGCTGTGGACAATCCTACCATGGTCGTTAACATATGTTGCAGCGAAACTCACGTGCACATTTTGGATTAAGTTCACAGCGCCCTCACGAGTTTACGCCTTTTCTGGGGGCGTTATAGCTGGGTGCGTTCGAGTAGTTCACCTCGATCGAATCGGGTAAAGGCTGAAAGACGGTCAGACTAGTTAGCCACAAACGTTGCCGGGCTGTAAATCGAACGCTCAACCGCGGGCCATTACGATCGTGAAGTGATATCCGTAGCCACTGCCGTAGCCACTGACAAAACGCCCATTTCGTACTTGGTCTTCGTAGGATTTACCCGGTGGCCGTATTGAGGATAGGGGCAACCCCATTTAACTAGCACTCGAACAATTGCGCCGATTTGTGGACGTGTTTTTTTTGTTCCGTGGCCTCCATAAAAATCAAAAATCAAATAGGGGCCTTCTTCAAAACTGACCTTTATTATTAATGTATACTGGCTAATATGTCGATTTTCAAGGCGCATTGTCATGCATTTTAATTGGAGCTTGGTTTTCTTTGTTTTTTTTTTCCAAGTCAGAAGTTTATGACCATTTGTGGAAATAGTTACTGAAAAAAATCTTTCAACAAGGTGCCCCCCCCCCGCCCCGGCCCCCTAAGGCATGATTTACCGCCTTTCAGTTCAGTGCATAACTACAAAAAAAAAAGTTGGGCTGAAATGATCACCAAAAGTCGCAATGAACTCAATAATAATAATTACCTTTAATATTCAAAAACAGTTTTATTTTGATGTCCAATGAAATATTGGCTCACTGGTATTGCGCACGCTTAAGACCAGCCAGCCGGATTTAATCAAATATTTCTGTTGGTTGTGACAAGTTTAATCGAAGAGAAAAAACACAACGAGGCCCAAAGTGTCTTCCATCCACAGAGCGTGATAAATACTCATGCAAGGGTGCGTGATGTGTAAATTTAATACAATGTATGCTGCAGAAAAATCATACGCGAGCCGGAGCATGCAGCATGCAGGGTGAGCTGGCAGTACAAAGAGATCAATGATGCATGACGAAATCATACAAGTTCTTTTCAGGGGTAGGCTGTAATAAAAACCGATGTTGCGTACTGAAAGTGTGCAATTGCCTATTTCATACTCGACGTTTAAAATAAACCACAAATTTGCAGAAATAATGGAGGCAACAACAGCATTTATTATCATCATAGCTACATTGGCTGTACTGTACTTTCGTCACTACAAGAAGCACATTGCTTGTCGGCGGTACTGCAGGAGTAACGCTAGCTTGGAAGGAAAAACGGTCGTTGTTACAGGTATTTATCAACCTGCAAAAATGCAGTGATTCACACGAGTGGAATGAATTGGTTGTATACTTGACATACAGTAAACTTTGCGTAGACCTGCTGCTAAATCACATGTTTGTATACTGTTTGTACCTTTTGTATGGTCCATAAGACTCCATATAGTGACTATTTGTTTGCCGGCTTTGCCTTATCTTGTTTAAAAAACAAAAAAAATCATGAATTTATTAGTACTGTACAGCAAACGGTGTGCTTGCTGCGAGCCACAGTATTATAATAATTATGCACATCATTCTAGCCTCATGGCGGATTTGGCTTTCAAAAGACGGGGGACGGGACCACGGGGGGTTGTGAAGCGTGCAGGCCTGGCTACGTGCATTTTAAAAAGTTGCAACTCTGGTGTTTGCAATCTGTCAATCTTTTCAAGCCTCACGAATATTAATATGGTCCCTATCCATTATGGTGTTCAGTAACAATTTGCACAATAGCCTCTTTCGAGTTATTAATTACTAATAATATGATTGTTTATTTTTTTAAACGTGTAAAGCGCCTCGAGCGTCTTTTGTAGGCGGATTTTGGCGCTTTATAAATTTTCATTATTATTATTACTACACATCACCCTTTTACAGGCTTCCATTGGTCAATACCGAGACCCACGCGTAGTCACGCCGGGTGACGCTAATAAATATGCTAATATGTGCTTCGCCATTGTTGCCAAGCCGAAATCGGTGAAGCATAATAGTGTCTTACGGCGCTATAGGATTTGTGCTGAAAACCATGCACGTGGCTTTGGTCGGAAAAAAAATCCTCGTTGAGATTTTCCTTGGATATAGTTCAAGGTGTAACACAAGCGTTTGCAACAACAGATTAAGCTGAAATTCGGATGATATAAGTGTCCAACTACTCGTGGAATAACAACTTTCTGAGATTCCTAGAAATTGAGATAGATACATGGATTTGGGGACGTTTTCGAACGATTTCTTTCCGACTTAAAGGTCAGCTTTACAATAAACCAGCATTGACGTCTTGGCATCGATGACGGCGATTTTTTTCACTGACATAAAGTTAAGAACTTCTTCTTCCGTTATAATTTAATGTTTCAATCATACTGAGCATTCTTTCTGACCATTCTTTGAACACAACTTTCAAAAGGCCATGTCTTTGGGGCGCATGAATTTTACTGCTCTAGAGTACACAATCGGATTAACTTTACTCAACAACGGCCACGCTTTGCCTTCGCAATTACCACATCACGGCTGAGCTGGCTCGCTGAGGCAGCAACCGACGGTTCCGCAATCGCTGCCTTTGTTCACGTAATGTCCAACGGGTGAGATGTTTATCCAGAGCTCGTTATTCCTCCAGGGGGCAATTCGGGTATCGGCAAAGTGACGGCCTTGGACTTGGCCCGGCGAGGCGCCCGCGTCATCCTCGCCTGTCGCAATCTGCAGAAGGCCGAGGACGCCGCCAAGGAGATCAAGACGCGGACGGGCAACTCGGAGGTTGTGGTGCGCCACCTGGATCTAGCTAGCCTGCAGTCTGTCAGGGAGTTTGCAAACAAAATCATCGAAAGCGAGGACAGACTGGATATTTTGATCAACAATGCAGGTCTGCATTTAATCTCATCCTTTACATGTAATGTGAAATCAAAAGTTCGACTAAATGAATCGTGTTAATAGTTAAACACTGCTGGCTGGGCTTTATGGGAGACTCAAGTTTCGATATCGGATTTCGAGATATAAAATTAGGAGTCCCATGAAATCTGGTCTCTGACCTTAACCCTCACACGTGACTGTCCTCATGCGCTATACAATCAATGAGTCCGTATTTCATGGCGTGATATCCATTATGCACAATAGGTACGCGGAGACTTCTGAGAATAGCTATTTGCAGAGGCAAATAGCTTAAAAATACCAACCTGAAGCAGGTTACATTGTGTACTGCGAATTATATCTGTTTAATATTATTTATGGTCATCACCAAGTTTTTGCAATAAACATGTACATGTACATGTACATGTACATGTACTTGACACCCACGTTTGTTTATGGTGTAAATCGAGAATGTTCTTTTGTTCCTCTTTCCTTTGTTTGTACTCTAATTAACTTTTTCACAACAGCCCTCATTGTTTTGTACACGTTTTCCCACCGAGGAGTCCTCGATTCGGTTTCTGTCCTCGATTCACCGATAGATGATGTTGCACGTGTGTGTCCTCGGTAAACAAACTTTAAATGCACCATAAACAAACGCACAACTTTCTGTGCAACACATCCGCTGGCGAACATCTATTGGGGCCAGACCAGTGAAGGCTTGTTTAATTAAGCGTGCTGGCTGATTTTTTTTTAAGAGTATACCTTTACTCTTCTGTCTTATACATGTACCTATAACTTGCTCACACAGGTGTTCCAGATGTCGGACACGCGGATCTTGTTACCAAGGACAACTTTCACTCCGTCTTCGGCATCAACCACTTCGGCCACTTTCTCTTGACCAATCTTCTCCTGGACTTGCTGAAGAAGAGCGCCCCCAGCCGAGTGATTAACATCGCGTCGATAGCGCACAAATATGTGAATTCTCCTATCGACTTGACAAAAGAACATCCCAGCGGGAAAAGTCCAGTTTTGTACCCGCACCTCAAGAACTACTTTCAGAGCAAACTGGCCAACATCCTGTTCGGTCGTGAGCTGGCGAGGCGTCTGGAGTCCACGGGCGTCACCTCCGTCTCCATCCACCCTGGTGTTGTCTTCAGTTCGTGGTGGTTAAACATGAAGGTCAACTGGGTCAGGGCTCTGACCTATTACATTCAGTGGCCATTTATGTGGTGGGTATAAAATAACGAGTTTAATCAAAGACAACTTTGTCCCCCTTCACTTATGTACATTCTCAACTACAATATTGATGCGCGGTTGGGGGAGGTAGAGACCACGGCGGGACACGTTAGCCTTTTAGATGATACGATTCAACTCGTTTTGAGCAGGAGGCTACTTCTCCAGGGGCGGATCTAGCTTTCATGAAACGGGGGTAGGGGTGGCGGTGGCAGTTATATGAAGTGGGAGGGGTGGGGTAAAGCATCCCGAAGGTTCGTCCTGCTAGGGGGGTCCTGGGGCATGGCCCCAGTAAAAATTTGAAATAGACGATGCTTTTATCCTGCATTCTAAAGGCAAGTGGGCACATGTGGTCTAACGATTCTCCATTTTGTTTTGTTTTCTGGACTTACGAGCAGGTTGCTGTTCATAGACGAGGAGGCAGGAGCCCAGACCACACTCCATTGCGCACTGGACGAGTCGGTGTCCCAGCTTCCGGGGCGATACTTTGCCAACTGCGCCGCCGTGCAACCGTCTGAGCTGGCCCGGGATGATGAGATGGCGCGAAGACTGTGGGATGTCAGCTGTCAGGCCACGGGACTTCACTAGAAAATTAACATGAATGGAATAAATTGCTTTGAAATATAACACAATGACTCATATACATGTGATTATTATAGTCAAGGCGATACTTAAAAATAATTGTTACAAGAAGAGGCATTTTGAGTAGAAGTTGGTAACCTAGCTATTCTACCTACTTTTGGGGTGCTGAATATCCAAAAATGATGGATACCAAGCTGGATTTTAGTGGAAATATGCCTTATTTGCACAGATCTTTACTACCTGTCGTGTAATATATTTGTGTCCATATTTAGGAAATTTTTTATTATTTTTTTTGGAAAAAAAATATTTTGGTCATTTTACTTACACTTACTCCAATTACACTTTCTAAAGTATGTAAATGATTGAATAATTATTAAGACGTAGTAACAATACAAAATTACTACTATACCCTAAGGTTGCGAGCATTTACCTTGTCTCCAGGTATCATCAAGTAGTCTCGCCAAGCGTCAGTATTGATGAGCCTCAAATTCACAAAGTTACTTCCTGGCACTGTTACCCTAACAAAAATAAATAGAAAATCATGAGGAAAAAATGATAATATCTTGATGTTAAGGTCAAAAAAGAAAACACTGAGAAAAACCGAGGTGTCCGTAAATTGGGCTGAAAATTAGGCGAAGTGCTGCCTATAGTGGGGGATTTGAACAACTTCAAGGAAATCCCCCAAAATAAACAATTTGTGTTGCTTACAATAATTAATGTCAACGTCAAGACGTTTTCTTACCAATAATTTTTGGAATTGGTTGCCCTGAATGAGCACTTTTTGTTTTAAATATCGCCTAGACTATAATACAGAGATTTGTAGCGGTGTGATATTTCAAATCGATGAAAGAATGATACATGGAAGTCCAAAATCCCTAATGTTGCATAAGGAAACAAGCGCAAAATAACATATTAATCTGTTTCTTAACTCACATCATTTAAAAAACGAACAAACCCAACACATCTTCCAGGAATGTTTGAAAATCAACTCAAAAACTGATGCCAATCCGAACAATTCAAGGATGCATGGAGGAATATCAATACACATGCATCCCAGATTGAAATCAAATCTTTCAGATTTTACAGACAAAATTAATGGGAACGAGGTTTTAGACAAACTTAAGCCCTTTTATATTGCGACAAATTTGTAGTCATCTGCAGTAATTCATTTATTGCACCGATTCATGTAGGATGATATCACATTTTTCATTGTGAATTATATTTCTGTATGTAAATTCATCAAGTTTGGTTTCAATGTTACTTTTCAAATAGTTGTTATTATTTTAGTCAGGCCTATTTGTTTTGCTATAACAATAATGAGACTGATCAGGGTGATAAACTATGCTACCCACAATACCTTGCGAAGTGTAAGTTTCCTTCAAAAAAATATTAAGGTGAATATCGTCCTGACAATATGTAACGTTTAAGACTTGTTTACTCATCTATTGTAAAGGTCTGGTTGAAAGGAAACTAATGTAATGTCTCACTAGCTGCTAAGAAAAGATGACAAAACCCCCGGTTGCATACTTCTGACGCGGCGGACATTTTGTGGCATACGTATATCCGTATTTCCAGTCGTGAATTAGCCAATATATTTACTACATGTACATGTATTATACGGATAAACACACACGTGTTTTAATACGAATTTTCAAAGAAACATGTGCGAATGGTCGACTAGCACTCAAACAACTCGATTTTTGAGAGTCCTAATGTTGACCATCGTAATGTTTTTCTCGCACTAACACACTGTGCGGCCACTATATATGCCTTTCGTCTATGTTCATTCAGATTCGTTCACAAGACTTCGTTTTCGCTTTTAGTAGAGGGCTAGGCCTATTTCAAACATTCACCATTCTATTTCCCTTTTCATCGGCACCAGATACAATTAGGGGTTTCTTTTTTCATTAACCGTCAATCAAATTATAGCTGTACCTAAAATCAATTTAGAAAATGTTTTTAGGTAGCTTGCGTAAATGAAATGACGCGTCTGTTTCTCAAAACCGAATGCACGGACAGTGAAAACAATTGAACTTTTGTTAAGTTGAAATGGGATTAATTAAAATACCTGCGAATTCAGACGAAAACGAATGACCGATTTTTAGAAGTGAATGAACATTTCAGGAAATTGGCCGGGAAAACCTATATTATAACACGGGGTGGGGGTGGTCGCATTAGCTCGTTTGATATTTTTTATCGTCCTTTGGTGAACGGGGAGGAGATTTCCCCGCACGCCAGCAGGGTACTTCGAGTTAGCTGTTCACCATAACAGTGCCTGAATGTGTGAACCTTGAACTTTGTACACCAGGGTCTGGTATAAAGGTAGAGATCAGAAGTAGGTCACGGGTGAAAATCGCTGACGCAAACTGTATTCCGTCTTCAGCAGTACAATGGAGGCAACAACAGCGTTTATAATCATAATAGCTACCTTGGCTGTACTGTACTTTCGTCATTACAAGAAGCACATTGCTTGTCGGCGGTACTGCAGGAGTAACGCTAGCTTGGAAGGAAAAACGGTCGTTATTACAGGTATTTATCAACCTAAAAATGATACATGTACATGTACATTGATTCTAGAACTGCATGGAACGAATTGCTTGCACTTGAAATGCGATGCTAAATCACTATACATGCACCTACAGATGGTCTTAGAAAATTTTCGTCATCATGACATCATCAGGCGTCAAGTTACGTCACACTAAAGGTGCATTATTTTCTCCATATAGGGGTTTTACACATTTTTGTTCCTCCAGTTCATTTTGGCACTTTTGTAAATCTGATCCACTTCGGACTAGCATGTACACACATAGACCACTACCCGCGGATGGTCCACGAGGATTTTCGTCATCATGACGTCCTCTGGTGTCAAGTTACGTCACATTAAAGGTGCTTTTACCTAATATATCTTCTGAAGTACAAGTCCGATTGGGTTGACTCTTTGAAGGTACTAGGCAAAATCTGATCATGTCTTGGGAGTATGGCATTATAACTCGCATAACATCCTGAGGAAAAAGACTGCCGCACTCAATTCGAACCGCCGATGTTTGTAATATCAAATTTCTTTTTTAGATGCTGGGTAGTCTCTCATTCCAATAATTAGTCTTTGGACGTCCGTGGTGTTAGTATAGTACCGTGGCATGTTTGCAAAGTAAATTTGCACATTCTAAAAGTCCCGGGTCACAATTGAAAAGGGACACCTTTGCCAAAGATTCTGGATCAAAATGACCCGAAAACGATCCAGAAAGTGTCATTTTAGAAAGAAAGGTGTCATTCGATCTTGAAACTTGGCAAATAGTACCAGGTTCCAGGATAAAATACGACTCGAACTTTGTAAAGTGTGATATCCGGTTTTGCCGATTATTGTAAGAGTGCTGCGCTTTAGGTTATGCAGAAGGGTCAAGTATTTTCTAATCGTCCTTGATTCAGGTGGCAATTCAGGCATCGGAAAAGTGACGGCGCTGGACTTGGCCCGGCGAGGCGCCCGGGTCATCCTCGCCTGTGTCGTGATGAATGCCGAAGACGCCGCCAAAGAGATCAAGACGCGTACGGGCAACTCGGAGGTTGTGGTGCACCACCTGGATCTAGCCAGCCTGCAGTCCGTCAGGGACTTCGCGAGGAAGATCATTGAAAGCGAGGACAGACTGGATATTCTAATCAACAATGCAGGTCTGAATAAATGCGTTCTTATCGCGTGGTGCGGAATCTATGCTAAAATGTCGTACATGACTTGCCGTTAAACTCCTGTCATACATCAATTCAACGCACAAAGAGAAAAGCACAAAAGACCGCTTTAAGCACTGTTTCAAACAGAAGCATGATTCGTTCTCGATCTTCAGCTCCCCGTCTCCAGTCAATTTCTTCTTTCAACTATGAAAAAATTACTATAATGCACGAAGCAAGTCAGTTGCCCTTTGTGGTTATTTATGCTTGCTAAAAATCAGTATATAGACCTTTGTTGATCTTTCTTTCATATTTCTCACCCACAGGTGTTCCAGACGTCGGACACGCGGATCTTGTTACCAAAGACAACTTTCATGCCGTCTTCGGCATCAACTACTTCGGCCACTTCCTCTTGACCAATCTTCTCCTGGACTTGCTGAAGAAGAGCGCCCCAGCCGGGTGGTCACCATCGCCTCGATAGCGCATAAATATGTGTCCTCCCCTCTGAACTTGACCCGACAGGATCCCAGCGGGAAAAGTCCAGTTTTGTACCCGTACCTCAAGAACTACCTTCAGGGCAAACTGGCCAGCATCCTGTTCGGTCGTGAGCTGGCGAGGCGTCTGGAGTCCACGGGCGTCACCTCCGTCTCCCTTCACCCTGGTGTTGTCTTCAGCTCGTGGTGGTTAAACATGAAGGTCGACTCGGTCAGGACTCTGGCCTATTACATAATGCGGCCATTTATGTGGTGGGTATAGAACGAGTGAATTGTGGTTGTTGTCTCCCTCAATTTTGACTTAGATCAATTCTCAACTGAAATTCACGGTGCGCGGTTCAGTTAGTGGCGTAACTACGGCCGGGGTGGGGGAGGTGGGGGCCACGGGGGGGGGGGGGGCACGTACCCGATAAAATGATACGTCTTCTAAGCGGGAGGCTACTCCTCCAAGTCAGGGGCCTGAAATCTCATTTCAATTTGAAGACAAGACCGGAACGAAGTAGAAGGTTCGAAAACCCCGTGAAAATAATTATCCATGGTTTTGTGTTTGTCTAACGCACAGGTTGCTGTTAATAGACGAGGAGGCTGGAGCTCAGACCACGCTCCATTGCGCATTGGACGAGTCGGTGTCCCAGCTTCCTGGGCGATACTTTGCCAACTGCGCCGCCGTGCAACCGTCTGAGCTGGCCCGGGATGATGAGATGGCGCGAAGACTGTGGGATGTCAGCTGTCAGGCCACGGGGATTGAAAACAACTACTAACAGCATGAATTGAAATAATTTGAAAATGTAGTCTTGAACCAAATCGTATATGCATTCGCGGCATTCTGCTATAAACAGAGTCAAATTCAAACAGAAAATCATCATATGAAGAGAATGTTTCACAATTAGGCTTATACAAATTATATTAACGACAGTGACATTTAAGACTTGAAGAAATACAATTATTTAAGTCAACAAGTGTTTGAAAATTACTTCAGGAAACACGAATGAATAATTGATTTAGGCCTACTTCTATTGTTTTCATTGATTATTGTTTCGTTTAGTACCTGTTCATGTCTGTTTTTATTTAATAATATTATGTTCGGTTATGATCTCACTTTTAAACCCATTTTATATCTTTAAATCTCCTATTTGTTTGAATTATTTGTACATTCTCTTAATCCTTTTAAATAGCTTGTTTTTGTTTTATTTGTTTTCTTCTTTGTAATGTTATGCTCAGGGCCCCGTGGAAGACCACATTATAATGTGAACGGGTCACCATCATTAAAGAACAGAAATTAATAAATAAATAAAACAAATAATATGATATGATTGCACTTTGTAAAACATTTAATTTTGACTTTGATTTAAAATATACCAACTGCACTGGACATCACATCATAGGCCCGACCTCCTGGGACACCCCCCCCCCCCCCCACCCCCGGAATGTCCGTAGTTTTGTCATCAAATTAATTGTTCTGTATATTGTTCAGTCGTAACAAGCGCCGAGAGCAGAGTATGAAAGGAGCAATTTGATGTTTTTAAATACATTTTTTAAAGGGTTGGGGGCGCAGCGCACGTCACGGTGTTCACCGTAGCAAGTTCACAAAATTGAACTTTCAACAGCACGACGATTCATGTACAGGTCACGGGTCAAAGTCGCTGTTGCAAAATTATATCGTTTAGCAGTTGCTTATTTCAACGGGACACGTACTTTACAAGAATACAATTAAAATGGAGTTAATAACAGCAATAATAATCATCATAGCTACATTGGCTGTACTGTACTTTCGTCACTACAAGAAGCACATTGCTAGTCGGCGGTACTGCAGGAGTAATGCTAGCTTGGAAGGAAAAACGGTCGTTATTACAGGTATTTTATTATCAACCTGCAACAATACAAACTCTAGAAGTGGAATGAAATGAGCTTGATTTGTACACTGCTATATCAGTTATTTATCAGTTTTCTTTAACGCTTGAGTCATTCGGATTCCCCGAAACGACCCTTGAATTTCGTCCCACAACATCGTTAGATCAATTAATATTGTTGATTTCATCTTCAAATTTGCACCACTAGATTTTATTGTGAGTCAAATTGTGTGCAGGGTGTTTAATGAAGGTGCTCTTAAATACTCGTGCTAGTTTCGACAAAATTCGTCTCATATGGAGATTGGTGTTGTGTTGAAAAAGCAAATAGTTTTTACTCAGTCAGTTTAATGTTTTTGTCATTCTATTTTATTTCGACACGCCGAAACGTTACGATAAGTAATGTTTCCAATTTTTTGGCTTCCTTTGGATATTCAAACTTACATTTTGCACAGAATCCTTCAAGCACCATCAATGTACTAAATGTATTTTCTGAGCATGAAAAAAAAAACGATTCTGCTTTTTCAATACAGCGCAAATCTCCACACGAGATGAATTTGCCGAAAACTGGGGCAAATCACAATGCCACATTCATGACTTAAACTGCACTTAACCCTAAAAGGGCCGGGTTATTTTGGACATCTCTCAGCTGGGGGGGGGGGGATTCCCCCCCCCCCCAAGATTTCGGCCATCGAGAGACGAAACATTTTGAAACAACTTATCATGAACATACCCAAGAAATTTCATGACTATAGGTCAAAGGGTTTAGGAATTATGGCTAATTGATTATTCACATGCACGAATGGTAATTCTGCTCTGTGTATACGACGTATGTGGAAATTCAGTTTTCACGGCGCGTAGGGCCGGAACATTTTATGTTTTTGGTATCAATGCGCAAGGCTCGAGGCTAAAAAGTCATAACAGCTCGGGTCGCGAAAAAAAAAATCAAGGCTATCGCGGAAAAAGCCACGGCCCTTTTAGGGTTAAGATGAAATCCGTTGGTGCCAATATGAAATTGAAATTTACATTGGAATATACAAACGATGCTGATGAACGAAATTTAGTTAATGATCGTTCCAGTAAATGTGTGTATGATTAAAGTGCAGCGGCGTAGCCAGGGTTCTCATCCTAGGGGGCGTGTGAATAACACGTACATCCGGTTACAATGGAGGGGCGCCCAAACATTTCATCTGTGCTGAAAGGTAGCCAGGTTTTTTTTCACTGGACCCCCGACCTCCGTAATATAGGGGTGGGGGAGGGGGTGGGGCTGGACATCATTTTCACATGGGTGCGCTGTTCGAAACATATATCATGGTAAATGTTCAACAAAAACTACTGCTATTCGCTTTCCACGGACGTTAAAATAAACAGCGACTCGCGGAAAAAAAGGAGTTTTGGTGAAAAATACGCACAAAATCGCGGGAAAAGGACTCATGTTCTTCCAGCTAATCATGGTAACTCAAACGGTTGTGTCTTTCTCCGGATGTCAAATATCCAGTTTGGGGAAGGGGCGACAGGGGAGGGGGGGGGGCGCCAACTTTTTACCGGGGGGGGGGCGTGTGCTACGCCGCTGTTCGGTTGGATCGCAAAGTACACCGAATCCGTCATTTCGTTCATAACTTTTGCCCGTGAACGTAATCATAGTGATCAAGTGTTTATTTGTGGAATTTAATTTGCATAATTTCGGGTGATGACTCAAAATTCAGCGTTTATTACTCGACAACCGAGCTTGCATTTGGGTCGGTTTACTGATTCCAATCTAACACATTAAATCTATAACTACGGAATCATTTTTCTCCTAGGGGCCAACTCTGGCATCGGCAAAGTGACGGCCCTGGACTTGGCCCGGCGAGGCGCCCGGGTCATCCTCGCCTGTCGCAATCTCCAGAAGGCTGAAGACGCTGCCAAGGAGATCAAGACGCGAACGGGCAACTCGGAGGTCGTGGTGCGCCACCTGGATCTAGCCAGGCTGCAGTCCGTCAGGGAGTTCGCGAGGAAGATCAACGAAGAGGAGAAAAAGCTCGACATTCTGATTAACAATGCAGGTCGGTGTATGTAAAAGTAGCAGGTCTTAACAATCAAGCTTCCCTTCTGTTTTCGTATGTATAATTCCGCCTCGGGTCATTGTTTTATTTTTGTTTTATTTGCAAATTTTCTGAAAGAAGCTGAAGAAGTCTACAAAATTCAGGCGTACACCTCCAATCTTTCTCTCGTTTGAATTACCGCACAAAATGGTACACAGGTATTCCAGAGTTCGGACACGAGGGTGACGTCACCAAAGACAACTTCCACGCCGTCTTCGGCACCAACCACTTCGGCCACTTCCTGCTGACCAATCTCCTTCTAGACCTGCTGAAGAAGAGCGCCCCCAGCCGAGTGGTCACGGTGTCATCCAACGCCCACGAGCGCGTGCGGAGCTCACTAGACCTCAGCCGAGCTGTGGACGCCAGGAGGCCGGGGCGAACCGACGGGGCCGCACCGGTCCTTTACCCACACCTGAGGGACTACGCTCAGAGCAAACTGGCCAACATCCTGTTCAGCCGTGAGCTGGCGAGGCGTCTGGAGTCCACGGGTGTCACCTCCGTCTCCCTTCACCCTGGTGTTGTCTTCAGCTCTTGGTGGTTAAACATGAAGGTCAACTCAGTCAGGACTCTGGTTTATTACATCAATTGTCCTATTATGTGGTGGGTATCATGACTGTGTAGTGAATCAAAGACAATTTTTTTGTGTTTGTTGTCTCACTCCGTTTTGATTTCATTGGCACATCTCCACTGAAATAGCACACGGTTCAGTGTCACCTCTCGTCTTTTTTGTGTGTAGGGAAGGATTCTTATTTATAAAAGAATTCACGCCCCCGCTATCCCAGACTATGGGTTATTCCCCTTATACGGCCGGTGTAGCGTGAACTTAGGTTTCTATGAAATACAGACTCATTGGTAGTATTGCGCATGCCTAAGCGAAGATAATTTGGAGGTGACCGATCACGTGAGGGGGTTTTACCAATAAAAAGATAAAGGAGTCCAATTTTCATAGGAGTCTGATTTTCATATGACACCGATACGCCGCAACGGCGGTGATGGTCGCTATCAACAACGTGAATCAAGTCCTGTCTTTGGAACTTAAGCAGCAGCGCCACCCTTGAAAATATTCCTCACGTGCACTCATTCAATACACGTGTATGAGGTCATTGAGGTATACAGGGTGGTGCAAAAAGAAGGAACCCCACTTTTGACGGCAATTTTCACCTAGTTGTTGAGCATATTTCAAAAACTCAATTAAATGATATTAAAATATTGATCTTTAAACATAAGTGACGAAAAAAATGATTGCAAATGCATATTTTGTCTTCGAGATATGGTAGTTAAAAAAATTTCATGTGCCAAACCTATTTGTCCACGGACGGCTTTATTCCATCCGCTTGACTGAGCTCCGGAGCTTGATTTGAAGACAAAAAGACACAACAGATTTTTTTTCACCATTTATGTTTGAAGAGCTATGCTTCACTATATTATTCAAATAAGTTAAGTAAGTAGATTAAACTTCCTGTCAAACGTGAAGCGGTAGCGCTGTCGAAATTTCAAAGACTAGATTTAAAAACCGATGAAAATATTAATAACGCGTGCGTCCGAATTACTGGTGGTTAAACACGCGTCCATGGGAAGTGTAGCCGCTTCTGTTAAAGTCATAATTATAGGCGCATGTGTAATTGGTTTTGTGTTTTGTTGACTCACGCGCAGGTTGACGTTTATAGACGAGGAGGCAGGAGCCCAGACCACGCTCCATTGCGCATTGGACGAGTCGGTGTCCCAGCTTCCGGGGCGATACTTTGCCAACTGCGCCGCCGAACAACCGTCTGAGCTGGCCCGGGATGATGAGATGGCGCGAAGACTGTGGGATGTCAGCTGTCAGGCCACGGCACTTGAAGAAACTACAAATATGAATTGAATTAATGTCAAATGTATACTTTTAGTCTGAAAAATAATGTGATATAAATATCTGAGTTAATTTAATTGTTCCCTTTGCATAATCTCTGTATAAAATTGTCTCATTTCATACATGGCGTTTTATTTCAAAACAACATTTTACATTAATTCAATTCATATTTCGATTCGATGTGGAGAAATCCGAAAAATAACAAAATAAATAAGAAAATACCACGGAAAATAAAACTAAAAAAACGGAACAATATCAAGCTTCAAAGAATGGTGGAGAATCACCTGAAATAAAAAAAACTAATCATTATCCCAACAATAAGTCGAAGGAATATCAGTAAGCCCACATGTACATCACAGATTAAACATGACATAAAATCTTTGGGATTCGAAGACAATCTGATGACAACGAGGTTCCAGACAGCCGAGTTTATCTTAGTTTCCCGAGCTTAGCTATTATTGTGTACATATTTTCAATAATTCTTTTATTACACCGATTCATGTATTACATCAGACTCTTATCTGTTTCTATATAAATTTATTCAGTTGGTTCCACAGTTGGTTTTAAAGTGCCCATGAATTGTAATTGTGTTTAATGTAATCCTTGAAATTGCACATTTTGTGTCCCATTTTACCTTACTTTAAATTTTCATTTCGCCATCTTTAAGGGCATTTTGTTGCCTTTTTGGTTGTTATGCTAATGAACATTTGTATATTCATGAGCAAAGTGTGATATGAATTCAGGCAGAAACCTCAATATTACAGCTATTTCAGCTCCAAAATTTGCCAGATTTTTTGATATTTTGCCGTCGAAAATTGTCTTTTCTTTGGTGATTTATTCTTCTTTCAGTTCATGACAGTGGGTCAATGAGCAAAGTTCTCTCACAAATGTTTTCGAAGAGCAAATTTTGGGTTCACACTCCGAATGAGTTTTCATACATTAAACAGGAGTACAAAGTTGCACAAAATATGTTCCAAGTAAAATTCACGTCATGAGCCCTTTAAATAATATTTGTGATTAGATTTTGCAAAAATTAGTATTGCAAAAATGAGACTGCTCGTGGTGGTAATCTGAGCTACCCACAATGCCTTGCAAAGTTCCTGTTTCCTTCAAAAATATTATGAAATCAATGAGCGGGCACCGTAGCTTTATAAAACAAAAGAGAGACATTGGTTTTGATGACGCGACAGTGTTTTCCTGCAGAATGATGCATCTGATCATGTTTTGTCTTAAAAAAAATGCTAAATTACTCGCGACTGTTTTTCAAATTGAGGGTTATACTAGCGTGAGGAATAAAGTATACCACGGGCCGTTTTCGCATAAGCTGGGGAGCAATTAGCCTTTCACCAAGGCCATCGTTTTTTAACTTGCCCGCATTAGACAACGCGTGCTTGCACAAAATTTAAAAACAAAAAATGCGAGTCTACTTTTCCACGCGATCGTGACCGCGTAATTGTTCTTACATTATCTTATTTTAATTTTACTTATAAAGGTATTTCAAGAAATTATTTGAGTGTATGAACTTATTTTTCATCTGAACTTACAGTTATTTGCTCTTACGTTTTCCTTACTCACCCTTCTTTTAAAAATGGAAGCGACTAGGCAAAATCCGCGTTGTGATTGGTTAACCTTCAGCACTCTATTTATTTGCATAAAAACTATGAATAATTCAACAAAATCAAGTTGGGAAAGGCCTCGTGGCTTTGCCACTTGTGCGTGCTGACTTAATCTTTGCTCCAGTCGCTTCGGGTCTTCGCAACTCCACCGCTCTAAGCCACGATGGCCTGGGCGAAAGGCTAGGGAGCAATTTGATATTAATATTTTCCATCGACGGGACGGGATTGCGAGCCGGCAGGGTATTCTTTACGGTGGTCACCATAATATAGGTTCTCCCGGCTATTTTAAAATTCATCAACTCCAACATTCAATTTCGTCAACGAAAAATTTCACACGCAGTTGGGTCACCCTCATTACTCACCGGGTCGAGAATATTCGTCAGTACGATTATATGCGTCTCAGCTGTTTCCAAATGGCAGCATTGAGAGATCGAATTCTTCTTAAATCGATTAGACAAATTTGATTTCTGAATACATTTGTAGCAAGGTCTAGCTAGACGAGACGAAATCGAATACTCCGGGACGAAAACGCGTGCTTATTGTTTGAATTTGCTTGGTCTAAATTTGAAATTGTCTGACAAAAGACGAAATGAAACATTGGAAGTGCACTAAATTGATGTTGTTGGACGAATTTAAATGTAAGAAACGGCGAATTCGAATGATAAACGTTTTAAAGTGGCCGGGAAAACCTATATATAGTAAGGCCCCCCCAAAAAAGTCTCCGGTTTCTGGTATGCGCGCGCGTCGCCGTAGCCATGCGCGTCGGCAAAATGAACAAGTTTTTTTTTTCAATGAAAGATGATGTCTCAAAACCGCCTAACTCACTGGTTTGACTGGAATCCTGCTGCTGCACAATTTTAACGTGTTTTTAGATGGGGTTATGATCGAGAATAAGCTTTATGTGGCCTCTCTGGACTCCCATATATTTGCACTAAGTTTAGTCGGGCACCATTTGCAGCCATCAGCCGACATTTGAAGCAAAAAAATCAGGTAAAAAAAAAAAAAGCCGCGTCGCCGCACCACTTTTTGGGCAAGTCCATACCAGAAACCGGAGACCATGGGCGTCGCGAGGGGGGGGGGAGGCAAGGGGGGCACTTGCCCCCCCCCCCGGAAAAGCCAAAAAAAAAAAAAAAGGAAGAAAAAAAAAAGAGAAAAAAGAAAAGAAAAAGAGGTGCGAAGACATAGTGGTGTAAATTTAATGGGTTGGGGGGGGGCAAAAATGTCCCTGCCCCCTCTAAAACTGATAAATCGAGAATGTGTTGAGAAATACAGGCATTTTTTGGCCAACATTTTTTTTTGCCCCCCTCTAGAAAAAATCCTGGCGACGCCCATGCCGGAGACTTTTTTTGGTTGACCTAACAGTGCATGAATGTTCACCATAAATAACATTGAACTTTGTACAACAAGAACAGGGTATAAAAGGAACGGATCAGAGGTAGGCCACGCGGGTCAAAAACACTGATGCGAATTGTATGCTTTATCAGTTGCCTATTTTAACAAGACACGGACCTAAAAAAAATAGTAAAATGGATGCAACTTTCATTACAACAGCGATTGCTATCATCATAGCTACCTTGGCTGTGCTGTACTTTCGTCACTACAAGAAGCACATTGCTTGTCGGCGGTCCGTCAGGGAGTTCGCTAACAAGATCATCGAAAGCGAGAACAGACTGGATATTCTAATCAACAATGCAGGTCTGAAGCTCGTGATGCAAAATCTTGTAATCTGTTGCTGTTTATAAGTGGTTGTTTTAGCTCGGCAACCATAGTTTTCCCGCCCTGCAGTTTTGAAACTTGTTCATTCAATCAGAAAGAATGTCCTTTCCATTTTGTTCCTTGTTATATAAAATACAAGATCTGACAGTAAAAATAATGTTATAGTCTTGACTCAAAATGTTAAAAATCTCGTTCGTCTTTGAATACCCGTGTGCAATCTTTAATTCTCACTCAGCTTAATAGCTTCCAATGGCATTCCATGGACAGCTATAAAAATAGGTTCCTTTAGTTAAACATGCATAACATCTGATACATAGCTTGGATCAATTTCAATAATTCGTGTTTTTTTGTTCAGATGAGTGGAAGAACATGTTAATTTAAGACATACTTCGTTGATGTATTAAATTTAATTGCTTTTTAAGGAAAAAAATGATTAATCCAGGTCACTTTCTTTTTGGCTCATCGTTTATATTAATTTACTCATTTTTCTTACACATTCTTATCTGCATTGTGGTTTACAGGTGTTCCAGATTTCGGACACGAGGGTGGTGTCACCAAAGACAACTTCCACGCCGTCTTCGGCATCAACTACTTCGGCCACTTCCTGCTGACCAATCTTCTCCTGGACCTGCTGAAGAAGAGCTCCCCCAGCCGGGTGGTTATCGTCTCGTCTACAGGCCACAGATGGGTGTCAAGTCCCTTGGACTTGACCCGCCATGATTCCAGAGGGAAAATTCCAGTTTTGTACCCGCACCTCAAGAACTACCTTTAAAGCAAACTGGCCAGCATCCTGTTCAGTCGTGAGCTGGCGAGGCGTCTGGAGTCCACGGGTGTCACCTCCGTCTCCCTTCACCCTGGTGCCGTCTTGACACCGATCTGGCGATCCTTGAAGGTCAACAGGGCCATGAACCTAGTCTTTTACATGATTTGGCCAATTATGTGGTGGGTGTTACGAGTAAAATCGTCGATTCATTCTGAAAATATCATGAAAACAGATATATTCTGAAAACATTGGTCCTATCATGGTTATGGACGAAATGCGTGTTGTTTTATTTAAACGGAATATTTTTGACAGGGGCACCAGTATCGTGTCAACTAGGGGTGGTTGGGGCCGGGGAGGGACACCAGCAGTTCCAGATAATTCGGAGGAGATGGCTGGACAACATCTGACTGTATAGGTGGCACTGCGAATCATCCACAGTATACGGCACTTTGCATGAACGTTTAATAGGTGGTGGGTGAGCAATATCTTAGAGCTTTTACAGCGTGGGGAAAAAGTGCATATTTAGGTCAAGTGAGTTAATGTTAATGTGCATTCGGATAACCGATCGAGGATGGCAATCAGAGGCACTCCCGACCCCCACCCCCCCCCCCGCCCCTCCCACTCCTTAGTGCCTTCCTAACTTAGAAATTTGGGAAGTCAAACATGAGCTTTTATAGGCCTAAAACGCATTGAGTGGCCCCCTCAAAACTGACTCAGGGGTACGCTGATGTAGGTGTGTGTGTCTGGGGTGGGGGGGGGGTTCGTTTTGGACGGCCAGTCAGCCACCGGCAAAACAATTGGGGGTCGAGGACATGTCCCCTCGCCCGAAACCCCACCCCACCAGGCCCCCTTCTTGGGATAGCCATTTTCTTTCGTTCCATGTGAGCTGTAGTAAGATGAGCGGAGTCCATTGTCTT